AAAAAAAAAAAAAAAAAAAAAAAAGCAAATGTCAGAGATGGCAAAATGCACTCACTCTCTTTCTACTCACTCTGTACCGGAAGTAAAGATGTGTGTGAGGGGGAAAAAAAACCCACATTGGTAAGAGTATGATTACTGACTTAAATCCTGTCCCGAAGAAAAGTAATAGAGTAAGAGCAAAAGTTAAATGTAATTTGTATTGTCACTTTTAAACAATTAATTCAAGTAAGCCATTGTAGCGGCCGCTGCAGGGAACAGCCGAAAAATGACAAATTTGTTTAATTCAAGTAAGCCATTGTAGCGGCCGCTGCAGGGAACAGCCGAAAAATGACAAATTTGTTTATGAAAAAAAACCCTCAGCTGAAAACAAAATAGTTTCCCTTTGTAACTAGCAGAATGGCCATACGGAGAAGAAAAATCATGAATTTACATTTTCACAGCTTTATGTTAAGAGCTAGCTAGCGTTGTTAGCTTGACTTTTATGCTATCAAAACAACTTTGCTAACGCGTTGAATAAGGAACAAAAATACTGAATAAGTAACTAAAATATAACGATATAAAAATAAAATTATATTAAATGGGTGGTTACCAGAAGCAAAATATCAAAATCTTACATTTAGTATTTAAAATAAGTATTTTTTAAAAGAATTCCACAAATATGAAAATCGACGGGTGCCAAACTGTGAGTATGCGGGGGTCGACTGTACTTCTTTGGTATATGTTGGAGTGTACCATACTCTCGCTCCTGCGCCTATTCGGTACAAAAGTGCAGTTTAATAAGATTGAATACACAAGCTGTACGCAATCTTGACCGACGTGGTTATTAAATCATGTCTAGTAGCATTTTACAAAGCATTATGCGAAGAAGAAATTCTTGCTGAAACTGTTTGTTCTTTGTTCCTCCTTGATGTTTCAGTTGCGATGCAGTTGCTGTGATCCTTTAAGGCTTTGTCCTTTATTCTGTCAGACAGGTTTGATGTCTCACAGGACATAAACTCGGGATTACTCAGTGACATGTCAGAACGTCAAGCTTGCTTCCAGTGAGAATGTCGTCTCTCTTCCTTGTCTTTGGTTCCCTGTCGTTACTTTGTATTTTTGGTAGATCGACTTTTACTCTTCAAATTTCACGTCATGGGGTCCGAATTCCGCTCTTTGTGTGACACTTTGAATGCTGTGACCTCATTAAGTGACATCAAAGTCAAAATATTAGAAAGAGCAGTTCATGAGTTCCTCGCTGCTGCCCATAACCACAATAATCAAACGCTCAGTGAGTGAATACCCTTCTGACAGTGTCAAAGCCAACAGATTAGTGTCTTTGAAAAAGGCCTATTTTTTAATACGTCGTTACTTTTTGCATTTACTGTGTTGTGCACGTGGTCATAATAATTAAGAGTTTCGGGGTGTTTTGTCTTACTTTGGATTTGGGATATTTTGGCTCTCAGAAATGAGCAAAAGTGCAACAAAGTTTTCATCGTTATTGAGGAATCAAAAGTCACTGCACACCGTGACGCCAAACGCGGGTTTTGTTATTCTTAGGTCTCAAGAGTAAATTATTATTGTAGCATAGAATTAAATACACAACAAATCCAATAATTTACAAGCACAGCACAATCAGGCTTCATTTGGCTTAAATAGTTCAAAATATTTTGGAAAAACTTGAGGGAAAAAGATTGATCTGAAAAGTCGTCAACTCACAATCCCACCAACTGAACACATATGAGAAAATTCTCACGTTTAGTGGGTAAATTAGATTGAATATCATCTACCTGAGCAGTATGTGTTTAAACGCCTGGGGTGGGGGTGACATTCTAAATGGCCTGCCTATTTTTCTTCTTTGAACCATCTGTAGGAGGCACAGTGTTCAAGACGGAAGAGAAGAAGGAGAGTGGCTGTGACTGTTAGACCTCTTCCTGTGGTTACATCACGTGGTCCAAGAGGGTTCAAAAGGAGACAACTTCTTCTTCTTCGATCAGTTCTCGAGCCGAGTGACGGCACCTGCGAAGCTGGCGCGAAGACCGTCGCGTCAAACACATGGAGGAAAAAAAAAAGTCGAGGTAACGTATGATAGACCGCCTTGTTGAGCAATGGTTAGATGACAATCGACAAAAATCTTAAGTTTTAAAGCTTTACACAAGTGCCACTGAGATTCTTTAAGTGGCTTTTTTTATTGTTATGAAACTGCTGTGCCTGTTATTTTTTAAAATTATGCCTCTGTGTGTTTGTATCCGTTTGATTTCGATGTAAACGGCAAGTTCTTAATATTTTTTTGGGGGGGGGGGGGGGGGGGTATGTAACTTGTGAATATGACAGAAAAGCTTACTCACGCCATCCAAAATGGCTTCTTCAAGATGGCGCTTCCTGTGGCAGACCTTTTTTTTTTGGAGGCGGAGACACGAAAAAGGGCCATTTTTCTGACTCGAGGGGGAAAAAAAAAATTCATGAGCAAGTCATCAAATACAATTTTCAAGGGCAGAAGTGAAGAAGTGACCGTCTACAGGGAAGTGAAGGTTGCCTGTTAAGCGGTTGCATGCATGGTGTCCATAGTGTCGGTCGGGGTGAAGTTGATAGGGGGGGAGGGGCGGCGTGGTCGCTGTGTGTTCATGCGCAGGTGAAGAAAAGAAGACGACAGATGATAGAAGACGACCCATCAGATATACAGTGCAGTCATCCATAAAGTAGAAAGCACTACTAAACTCCTCGCCACAGTGTAGTGTTTCCTACTTTATGGATGAGTGTACTGTTGGCTTCAGGGACAACAGCGGCCTCTCCCCAGAAGTCCAAAAAGAGGAAGCGGCTTTTGTCTCGCGAAGCTACACGTTACCCAGAGTGTCGTCCTTGCTAGTTCACATGGGTGCCGTGTGGCGTGGAGCAAAGCCTGCAAACTCTTTCCTCCATTTTGTCAATCCTCGCAGCTAAGAGGGCAGAAAAAAAATATCAATGACGTGTACGTGAAATAAAATGTCATCAGCGTGAAATAAAGAATCAATCAAATGTTTTGCTTCCCTTCTTCCACCATTCATACAAAACCTCACACGCTCGACGCACTTTTGTTTCGTGTGAAAATAGACATACTTTATTTGACGTAAAAAGACGCTTGTTTCAATTCTTTTGCATCCTAAGCCTTTACCGCATCAACACTGCATGAACATGCCAAAAATATGAACAAAAGTATTTACAGATGAGCTTCCAAATAGGTAATAAAATCATTTTTAGAACGTCATATAAAAAAATGCTTTTACAATATAAATACAGGAAAGAGAGTCCAAAGAACTGTTCATTACATACTCAAGTCCTACAACGACCTTCTCACTGCATTTTGACCATCTCCAATTCACATTGTAGATGAGTCAAGACAAAAGAAAATATTAAATACGAAATGAATAAATAAGGCAGAATATGGGCATCATATTGGTCTTCATGCAATCGATAAACATCCCGTAAACAAGAGCTCGAGTCTAAACAATGTCATCTTGTAAGGCTAAAATACTGTGAACTATGGTAGATGCCGAGCGGGAGCAGCGCAGGTGCAGTCAACTGAAACAGCAGGTAGAGATAATACTTGCGCATTCAAGGCCGTAAATACAACAGTGCATTTCAGCAACTTGTCTCCTCTTAAAAAAAAAAAAAAAAAAAAAAAAGGGGGGGGGGGGGGAGAAGATGATTGCAGCCTCAGCCTTGTCTATATGCCCAGCGAACTTACAAATAAAGCGTAACCTGATCCCGCACCCCCACTGCCTCCTTTTTACAGTCTTAGCATCGTCATGCTGCCTCTGACTAACAATGACTAATGACTTTATTAACTTGCAACTAAACGTTTCAGGGTTAAAAGTGACTCCAACATGGCAGGAGCCAGGCTAAATTCTCCTCCTTTGCAGCTTAACAAAACAGGAAAAAGCACCTAATGAGTTTGGCATTTTCGGCACTTTTTCCACTTTTTGTTGGGAGGTTCTGTAGGGGTGCTAAGCTATGAAAGAAAATAAACCTGAGAAGCTATCTAAGGGCGGAGCCCCGTGCACTGTGACAAACTCGAATGCACATCCACTTCCAAACGCACTCACTCTGCGCACACACACATTACAGGACATGACACACACCGTCGGACAAGCATGAAGAAAAACATAAAGTGGCCATTGTGGTGCATCTAAATAAATATTGCAGATTTATTTCAGTAGTTCAATTCAAAAAAGTGGAACTGTTATTATGGGGATTCATCACAGAAAGGATATATATATATATATATATATATTCCCCCCCCCCCCCTTGCTGTTGTAGACTGTAAATTTCCCCAGTGTGGGACAAATAAAGGATATATTATCTTATCTTAATTGACCCAGTGAAATTAAGGTGTGTCCAACCAAAAGCCCGCAGGCCAAATCTGGCCCTTCGTGCCATTTTATGTGGCCACTTCGAGTTCAGCACAATTTCTGTATTTCGTTTTTTTTTTTTGTTTTTTTTCCCCCTTCAAAATGAATTCCCATCATAAAAACGCAGATACAATTCTCTTATGATTGGCCAATGATTGGAGTTCCGACACCTGTAAATTTAAACCAGTTAAGACTTCTCAGATGGCATTTCACAAATCAATTTTTAGCGTTGTTATAGACTTTGACCATAGTGGGGGTTTTTTCGTCTGACATTACTACGCAATTATACATTTTTATGTGGTTATACCGATATAACTGACCTCCTGATTGCCAAGTGGCCCATGATCAAAACAAGGTTAACCTCCCCGTTCTTTATACGCCGAGATGCACACGTATACTGCAGCATTCAAGTCATATATGTTGTCATCGAAATTCAGGAAAATATCATACAATAAGTTCAGCGCTATATAGTATAGTATTGCATTTGGAGGACACTATGTCCCAGTGCTGCTCCGCAGCAAGGTTTAGGCTTTGAACCTTGGCATGGGTTATGATGGGTTTATGCTCGTTTCAGTGGTATTCTGGTATAGGTTGTACATAGGTTTCACGACAGAGTCTAAAAGTTAGTGTATGTGCGTAAACCACAACTGTCGCTGGGGTAGGTTGCTCCTTCAGCGAACTGAAACAGAGCAACTAGGATACAAAATGGACGGCTAGGCGCCAATTTCTGAGAAACACCTGCAGCTACGCGCGTTGAAAAGGAAAAAAAAAAAGTTCTGCTTCATCACACTTGACAATCATTGTAAAGACGCTGCTGACATGCTGTGTTAAAACACTAATCCGTGCTGTGGACAGGAATATTATTTTTATTGTGGTTTCTAACGGTTACTTTTGATGTGAGCTCCCTCCGCGAAAACACCTCAATGCGAAAACACCTCTACTACTGCATCCAAAATATATCAACTAGCTTGTGTGCATCACTGAGGCTGCTGGTGACAACTTCGACAGCTCAAGCGCTAATATCTGAAAAAGCCATGTGCTTTGGACAGCACACACACATACCCGCACACACACGCGCACACACACTATAGTGTCTCATGCCTGTTTCAATGACTGCACTTGATCGACGTCACACTCCACCGAGTCTACAACGAGGGAAAGACAGATGCAGATATAAAGCATGATCATTTGGACAAATGTACACACTGGCAGAAACATGTGCGGGACAAATCAAATGAGCTTATTTTTCTTTAGATGGACGAAGAAGGCTGAGGCCTTCTATGTTTAGTACTGAAAGCGTGAGACGCTTTGATGATTTGCCATTGGAGTATATTTGAGTCGAGAGATTGCACAATTTTGTCATTCACAGCGAATCTAGTCGTGCGCTAAGGCAAGTGTACGATTACTAACAGTTATCAAGAAAGTGCTTCCAAAAAAAATTAAATAAATAAAATAGTATCAAGTTTGAGGTCCTGCCTTTCAATCTTTCTTGCTGGATCCAAACCTTTTGAACAGTTTCTTGCCTTTGGAGAAGAAGCCTTTCTTCTTCTTGCCTTGTGCGGAGCTGTCGGCGAGCACCGGCCTGTCTGCCGGGTGGGGGGCTGGAGGAGAGGCATGCACTGGCGCTGAGCCTGGAACCGGGCCCGATTCTGATGTGGTGCTGGCAGGCAGTTGCAGATGGGGGAGTGGTTCTGAATGTTCAGATAGGTTGGGGCAAGGAGGTTCGATTTGGGGGATCAAAGTATCTTGACTTGTCGAGGGCCCGGGATCCTGCTGGACGACAGCGGGGATTCCCTTCAGGATGAAAAGGACATTAGAGAAAAAAGTTTGGGAACAAAAGTTTTGTTTTACTCATTATTTATTTATTATTTATTATAAACTATTAATTATTTATTATTTATTTTGTGAATGCAAACACTTTGTTTTTCTTCTTTCTTCTTTCTACCCACAATCTTGCTGCTGTAGACTGTAAATTTCCCCAGTGTGGGACAAATAAAGGATATCTTATTGTACTACAGCGCAGTAATTTTTATAGTACAGAGGGTTTTCAGTTTATGATGGGAGTTTTGTTCCGATGGCTGCAAAATTTTACGACAACTGAGTAAACCGAGGACCTATTGGAAAACACATGGAAGGCAGGGGGCGCAAAGAACTGAAATCACATTTGGACTAAGGAGGTAACGCAGGGTGCAAAGCGGGTCTACAGTAGAAGCACATCAACATGAACTGGGAATGAACGGAGGGACACTAATTAGGAATCGCTGAGCTGCTTGCTCCCCCTTTCAGACAACACTTACAATCAAGTCTCAAAGTGCACCGTTCGTTTCTGCTTCTGCAAAAGGTCATGCGAGGAAATGACGGAGCGGGGAAAAAAAAAAAAAAAGCAACTGAGTTTAAGAACTAGAAACAGAATAGTGTAAGATAGTCATCAACAGCAGTTCAAGAAATGTCAAAACAAGACAAGGAAATAAAACAAGCATGTTGGTGACAAACAAAGTCAGGCGACACGTCGGGGAAAAAAAAACAAAAAAAAGTATGCAGCTACCTGCGATTCTTTCTTGGGTTCCGCTGCAGGCTGAGCAGAGACATGTTCGGCTGGAGCATCTTCTGGTAACGCCTGCAGGAAGTTGGAGGGCACCAAGCCTCGTTGTCCATTCAAGTCACCCTGAGACACACACCAGTCAGATTGGAGGACATTGCTTTTTTGTTTTTTTGTAGATGAATTCAATGAAAAACTCATGTGACGCACACAAGATCTGTTCAAAAGGAACCAAACCCAAAATACGTACAAAACATCGCAAGCACTCGTTTATGGACGCCGCCATTATAAGGTCTTTTCACTCTCGCAAGAATGTGACATGTCATCATCTACATGTACTTATCGGTCTGTTTTCCTGTACATAAACGTTAGTTCATTTGCTTTTTTTTGTTTTGTTTTTTCTTTTTCTTCAATCTAATACTCACGTAGAAGAAGCCATCTTCATCCATGTCGCCAATGACATGGATGACATCGCCGGCACTGAAGGTCAACTCAGCCTAACGAAACAAATTAGATCATGAGCAAACGCCAATCGAGCCGTTCACGACATCGCTCATCTTGTTGTGGGTCCGGAGCCTATCCCAAGTGATTTCGGGACAAAAGGTCCATCACAGGGAACATTTAGAGGCCAACCAACCATTCACACAAGGGCTGCACGATATTGGAAAAACATGCCATATGCCAGGTGTGTCAAACTAATTTTTTGTCACGGGCCACATTATAGTTCCCGGTTCCCTTGGGGGGCCGTTATGACTGTGAAACCATATAAGGAAGTCAAGAATAATGGTTTATTTACCTATAAGTTGTTTCAGTTTAAGTTACTCTAATGAGGGTTTTGGTAACAAGAAAACCTACAATAGCTCTCTTATATATTACATACAAGAATTTGAAATTTTGGTTAACATTTTAGCAATCATCATAGAAGTCAACATGTTTGGTTTGCTTTCGTGGGCCACATCAAATGATGTGGTGAGCCAGATCTGGCCCCCAGGCCTTGAGTTTGACACCTGTCCCATATGCGAAAAAGGTGTTGAATATTGCAAAAGAAATGATTGCAATATTTAGCATGCACCTAAAAAAACAAAAAACTAAAAAAAACAACAAAAAAAAAACATTTGTATTATCTAATGAAAGAAATGTTTTTTTTTTCCAGCACCATCAGTGACTTCATGAACAAACAACAACTCCAAATAAGACTTCTTGTTATCGTGTATCAAGTCTGACCTCGATATCGGTGTTCGGGGAGCTCTCTCGTGGATCGTAATCAAAGATGGCCACCATCCGGCGAGATCCTGGGGTGGAGTTTGCTGCAGTTGCAGCAGCTGCCTGGCTTACATCTGCCCGCCAAAAAAAAACACATGCTCAAAAATATATACGATACAAGGTATGATATGTCTTCTGTGACCACCAGCATGCAGATTGCGGTTCGTGCATCTGACATTCCACTCCATGCAGTTGGACAGAAAATGGAAAATGGACGGACGGCATGGAGTTAGTATTTGTGCCTGCTAACAGTTACTTTTAAGTTGTAAAGAACACGGCGCCACCGCAAATAAACATGAAGAAAAATATTAGTTTATGTGAAGCAACCTGAGGAAAGAAGTGTTAGGACGAGAAACTGATTGCAATTGCGAACTTCCAAGTTATTAACGAATAATTCGTGGAAGACGTTTGTTCCCCTTGGATGCGCATTCTCCATCTTCCCGGTTGATATATTATCAATTGACGCTGCTCTCAGTTTGCGTGGGGTGAAACACATAAAATCAAGCAGTCTCCTATAATAATGGATGACGATGAGAAATGGTGTTACCTGCAATCAGAACACAACCTATATGTCTTGTGAAAACAGAAGATGAATCCATGCGAGCAGTCCAGTGAACAGTGGAACGTCCACGGACGCGATCATGCACGAAAAACACAGAGGAGCTTGTGGGTCAAAGTTCAAATGACAAACCTTGACTGGAGGAGTCTACGCTCTCTTCCAAGAGTGTTGCAGACTCCGCTGGAAATCGCGAGGGATAAAATGGCACGTTTGCAGAAACAGAGGGAACAAACTGTAAATCCAACATCGCGCCTCAAAGGCCGAAAATGTACTCTTAAATTTACAGTCGGCACCACACAGCAGGACATAAATTCACAGGTAATGATCAGAGGGGGATGAGGAGATTGGGAAATGTTCCATTTTAGCACAGAGTCTGGATTCTGATGCACTATCTGAGGAATTACAGGGAGCAAGGAATTGACTTTCCTCTGTCCAAATTATAAACCTTATTAACCCTTTGAGGGACAGCGGTTACGACAGTGGCCAGCTTATCATGTTATCAGGTGACGGTGTTTGTCATCTTCAGTGCCAGTCTGTGGTGGCCTTTGAAATAGAATCTCAACAAAAAGTCTACTGCGTAATTTGGTTTTGGTTTCCACCGTTGCGGAAAATATCAGGGTGCAGGGACCTGTACCGGTTTGTGGCTCAGTGGTTGGTGACCACTGCTTTTGATGCTCACTAAGGTGACATCACTGGGAATATTTAACATGGTAAGATGAATGACAACAGTTCACGTTTTGGATTTCTGCAGGATTTGAGAATTTTCGATCGTATTCAACTTCAAGATCGACTTCAAGATGGCGCCTTTGTTGGCAGACGTCTGTAAGAGCTCTTCAAGAGCTCTACTTTTTTTGTTTGCTTTGTTTTTGTCTTTTGTTTTGTCATATGGTGTTTGTTGTCCTTCGTGTGCACCCGTTGTGGACTGTTTTCAGCGTTTTGGCCACGACATCCGTCAAAGGAGAAGAATCTGTGCTTGATGGTTGCACGCGTGTACCAGCACTGATTTTGATGTGGGAGAATGTCGGCGCTATTTGACTGTTGCCGCTTGACAGCCCGGGGCGCTTCTGTTTTTTGCGCCTGGAATGGGCAGCATTTTTCACAAGCCCGTTTTGTTCAGCAGAGATGTTGGCACTGTTGGACAGACTGCGTTAGGGCAGCTGGATGGATGATGAGGAGAGAGGAGCGAAGATGTGTATTTGGACCTGAGAGTTGCCGCTTGATATTGAAGCCGATCTAAAATGGAAAGGAAAAGTGAAGCAATTTCCTTTATCGTCAATGGATGCTACAGCTTCTTGTTAACTTTCAAATTTAGCTTGTAGCCGACGTGTGGGACATCATGCACGTTTTGAGCATGACGTCTCTGATCCAATGGTGAAAAGAGACTTTGATTCTTTCCTCTTTCATCTATGACTGCTTAAAACAACAAGGCGTATGCAGGAACAGTTGTTAGGAATGTATGACTGTCCAAGTTTTATGTTGTGTTCTGTTATATTTTGTTATTTTATATCAACTGGTCTGCAAAGCGCTTTGTTACAGCTGCGGCTGTTGTGAAAGCGCTATATCAATAAAGATGTCTTGTATTGTATTGTATTATTTCGTCAAATCCCAGATTGGTTGGCTAACAAAATATTCCACTTGGGAGCTTTCACTGTATTACAACAAAAACAACAACAACAAGCTTTAGCAACAGAATATTAAAGTAAAATGTTTAGCTAATATGCTAGGTCTGACTTTTCAAATCCCCTCTGGTCATTGTGTGAAATGTACTTAATGAGGTGAAAAAGCAAACGGCTTCAAGCAAAACAGACAACAAAGAGAAACAAACCAGAGAAGACCCAAAAAAGAGGGCAGTGGGAGGGAATCTGGAGCGAGACACACCTTTCTTGGATCGTCTCGGTTTTGGTGGTGGAACAGGGCGACTTGGAAGCTGTGCGTGTGTGCGAGTGCCTTCATGGGATTTCAGAATAGAAAACCAAAATAGGTGACACCAAAAAAAAAATCAGACAAAAACAGCTGGACGGGTGGGGAAAAAAAACAGATCAAACAAAGAGACAATAAAAAGCAGCAAGCAACAGACGTAACAGCGAGTGGCAAGTGCAAGTGAAAAGGTTGAATCTGGAAATGTTTACTCTGTATGCTGCACGAGCTCGAAAGCGGGAAAAAGAAGCAAAGTGTCAGCTTGAATTTGCAAGGCAAACGCTGCATGAAAACAGCCCCTGCATATGTGTTGATGGTTATGATTTCCGGAACAGCGACACAGTGAAGGGGTGGGGGTGGGGGTTGTGCACCACTGTAGCACACTGAGATTAAAGAGGAGGCTTCTTTTGGATTAATCAGAAAAACGGGCCTCATGCAGGAACAGTTTGTCAGGACTCATGCAGACTACTGTGAGGCCTCTATTGTATTTTGATTTACACATTTGAACTGCAGCTGTCAATCATGTGTCCTCTCAATGGCTGGAAAGTTTTTGCACTAAAACCATAACAGTCATAAAGGGCCAATTTTATTGTTCATTATCTTCTTGTGTCGCAATTTATTTCATTTCGTCAGAATTCAACAATCTACATCGAGCTGGGTATCTGTGATGTCTTTATTCTTTAATTGAGCATCTGTTTAAATATTAGTGCTACAGGATTGAAAGAAAAGGGCTGAGATGTTACTCCGATTATTATTATTTTTTTTATGTCAACCAGCGGCGTTTGTACACGGCGGTTCCTCGGGTTACGACAAACGGAGGCAAACGAAACCAGAATTTGTAAGCAAGTCGGAACATGCAGTACCACTAATCTATATCAATGCAGAAGTCATAATTGCAAGAAATATTCATACGAAAATCCAATTCGAGATTATAGATAGAGAACAGTAAAACGGGAAGTCCCGGGGTGCTTCTTGTGCCATTTTACAACGTATTTTGCTGTGCACTGTTTTGTAACCTCAAATTTTTTTATGGGGACTGACATAAAGTGAGGACCCACTATTTCGATCTTTTGTCAGTAAGATGATCCTAAAAGCCGTTTCACAGCTCATCGGGAGCATTTGGTGCCGTCTTTGGGAGAACCCGAGGTTCAAGTGCGAACTTTTAAAAGATACTTACTCTTCGATGGCTGCAACTTGGCTCGGAATAAGTGGTTTCCTCTTAACGTAGAAGATTGTATTTTCGATTGCCCGTGCAGAGTGACGGTTCTACGACTGAGGGAGACGTCACTTTATGATATCAGTACGTCTACAGGCACAAAATCAAGATTACTGCAATTCAGCCTGCGCACTTTGTTCACACTTTTGTGAGTTTGCAGTTTAGTTAACAGATTCGATCTTTGGCCGAGCTGTCTGCCTCTCAGCGACGCCGCTCTCCCCACCGTGGTGCAAAAGGGATGGAAATATCGAGTGGTTCTTGCATCAGTCCCACTATCTTTGCAAAGCAGAATTAGGTTTATGCAGCCATTTTCTTTCACCGCTGAAACATGAACAATGGTGATTATATGCGTAGCGACGCGAAAAGGGATCATCCAACATAAAAAAAACCCCAAAAACAACGAGATTCGACATACCTATCTTCTCAATGGATGCTGGGGTTGTTAAGAAGCCCTGCTGCAGAAGCTGCTGCCGGGTTTCTTCATCCTCCACCTGGATCTCGGACACCATGTTGCAAGGCACATAGCCCAAACGACCGGCAGACTCCCCTCTGTAGAACCCGTCTGAGTCTTTATCGCCGTAAACCTAGTCAGAAAAACGGCTTTTCAATCACGCTTCACACACGCATGACGTGCATCTGACATGACGTCACTGATATGTTCATCTTCACTGGATGTGTATTTACACTGGATTGAACAGAACCTTAGCAGAAATGTTAACACCGTATTTTAGGTCAATGTCAATGTTTTCATTTCAGCCTATTCTGTACTGCATGGACCATATCGTGCAGGGGGGTGGGAGGGGGGACGTACTGTGATAATCTGTCCCTCTCGAAAGGGCAGCTCCTCCTCAGCGGCGTCCGGGTTGGGTGACATGGTGGCAGGGTCATAAGGGAAGAGCGCTACAAAGATGCGGAATTCGCTGTTGTCTCCTTTTGTCTTTGGTGATTCAAAACAGCCTGCGAGTATAGACGGTGGAATCAAATAAATAAATACTCAATAAAAGAGCAAAATGGTTTGTTTGTTTGTTTGTTTGTTTTTGCTATACAGTAATACATGAATTTAATCATTTATCTCAGTTCGCCAGTGTTCCAAATGGTTGCGGGAGCTTGCTCCTCCCCCCGATCACAGTGCACGCTTTACCCGGGCATGTCCTTAAAAGAGGTAATCAAGCTAAACAACTGATCCTAAGCCGTGCTCGCTGTTTGGCAAACGCACACTTGCTCAGGATCTGCGGCGCCCGGCAAGAAAGGGAAACGACGCTTGGCGCAATCTGATGGAGATCAAAGAACAGCACACTTGCAACACATACCCAACGGGCATCAATGACGTGGTGCTTTTTTTTTTTTTCTTAAAACAAGCACTTTGTGCAGCGTTGCAGAAGTGAAGCATAATGCTGGTGTGACCCATGAAGTTATGGCCATGTGTATCCTATTTGACAAAGTGAGACAAATTTGAAGAGCTGTAGTGAGACTTAAGCTGCTCTGAAGCGAGCCGCTCTCTATCTCATTATGGAGAATCAGGTCATTTTTGTGGCAAGAATCATGTGCAGAGAACTTGCAGTTTCACATCCTTGCGGATTAGTAATAGATACGGAGCATGTCAGTGGGTTGCATGTTCAAAGTGGCATGTGCTTGAATGCGTGTGCGGTACATCGGAGTATTCAGATCTACAAAAAAGCGGACTTCGGTCTGCGTCATGATGAAGAAAAAAAAGCAGAGAGGGTAGAAAAAGGGAGACAGAAGGAACAGAGGGGCATCACTCATTTTGTCAGCTAATCAATGTCGCTATTTTGAGGTTGTCACTTCCTTCTGTCATGACAAGCCACTTTAAGTTAAGCTGGTTCCCAGCTTAGTGGGCTCCAACTTCTCCATCACAGCCGACACTCCTCCCTTGCCACACATGGTACTAATCTGACTGCCAGCATGCGAGACGCAAGCCGCGGCTTGTTAAGTGTAAGCACAGGTGCGTCGGCAGCATTTCCGTTGCATCACCAATTTAGAGGAAGCAGGAAAAAAAAAAGAATCTCTGACCTTTGAGCTGCCTGCCTTGCGAACCAACAGATTTAGAGGATAGCTCGGAGTCTGGCCCCCATGATGGACCTGCTGCAGATTCCGTTTGTTCACTGGGCTCCTGCACGTGGAAACGAAAACGGGAATCAGCAAAACATTTCACACAGAACGATCATCGCATTTACAGGGAAAACAAGGGGAATTCACACGGGAAAAGCTGCAGTGGACATAATTAGAACATGGCGACATCGGTGCCAGTGTCTGAATACATATTGGAAAGCAACAATTGTCTTTAAGACAAAAGGAAGCATTGAGGGTGTTCAATTTCCACTGATATTAATTTTATTGTAATTTATTTGACTGATTATCATCGTTCAACAGGCATTTTAAGTTCTACTCCGCTGTACGGTTTTATAGCACACCACTCTGAGAACCAGATCACAGTCTACACAGAGCGATGTCAGAGTGAACTAGCACGCAAACAGTGCTGCAACTCATGAGCTAAGGGTGGGACAGTAGTGCAGAAGAGACTTAACATCTCTCCAACACCTAATTGTAGTCACCGTTGTTTTTTTTTTCCTCAGCAGGATTCCAATCGTAACCCTCTTGTTACAAAGCCCAAGTCCTTACAGGTGAGCTCCAACATCAGAAGCGGGCAAATTTACAGCTTGACTTCAAAAACCCTATTCCGCAATTAGTACACCTTTAAGTCAAAGACAGTGACCCCAAAAAGCTAACTTTGAAGCACAGAGTAAAAGGGAATCGTGACTGATGATAATTGAAGAGGGCACTCATGTCTAAGGAGTAATAGTACAGGTAAGGGATAAGAGCTAAAAGGGATTCACAGGGAAGATGGGTGCTGGGACGATGCTGAAGACGAATCTTTACCACGGACTCCAGCTTTCTTCCTTGGCGGTAGGAAGACCCTCTGTGCTCCATTTCAGCGCCTTCGATCCACCACTCTGACCTCATCTGTCCTAGCACCACCTCCCCTGTAGGGCACGCATCTGGTTCCTCATTGTCGTCCGTCCCGTACTCCACATCAATCTCCATCCCACGGCTAATCGGTGATTTCACAGTACGTACTGTTTTGCTTACTGGGTAGGGTCTTGGCGGGGTCGGACCATGGCCCGGTTTAGCTGCTGCCGCTGCAGCCTTCTGACTCCTGAGCATGGCCTCCCTCCTAAGGCGATCCCCTAACCCTCTGAGGAGTACTCTGTCTTTGTTGGGGGCAGAATGGGGAGGACAGCGGACAGGACCCCGCCTATTGGCTGGACCTTCGCATAAACCCACTTCTTTTTCACCACTATAACTGACAATGTCAACGGCATCTGAGTAGTGGACTCTGTGCTGCAGCTTGGGTTTTACTTGTAAGGGTCCTTGCCTCATTAAAGGCTCTTTGGTGAAGGATCTGGGATCCATGTTGAAGTGGTGGTGCTGAGGTGGAACATGCGGATGGTGGTGACACTGAGGAGCATGATGAAGGTGTTCCGTGCTTCTGGGGTGAAGGTGGCTGAGCCTCTTTTGAATCTGTATGTGATGATGTAAAGGTTCTTTCCGACTGCCATCTTCCTCCTCGGTCACTTCAGGAATACTAAACAGATGCTTGCTGCGGTATGGCTGAGTGGGTAACTTGAGGATCCTCTCAAGAACATCTTCATCACTGTCTGAAGGCTCTGATTTGGTTACCTATGACCATATCCATGAAACGGACCAGCAAAAAAGGGCATATTGGTGTGGAGTAGGTGGTTATTTTGGGGGAAAAAAAAAAAAGGAGGAAGTAAGAAGATCAAGTCATGCAAAAGGAAAAGAGAGATAAAATCGGAATCACAATCATGTGCGTAATATAAATAATAAGGTATTTGAAATGCACAACTTGGGCAAAGAAAATTATAAACAGCATGAGTTCACATATTTCCACATACTCTGCCAGATGTAACCGTGTATCCCCTGGTGGGCGCTTCCACGAGGTGGTCATAGTAAAGTTCTTCCTCCTCCTCTTCTAGGATGTCAGACAAGTCTGAGCGGATGCTGTCAGCGACGTAGTCACCTGGAGGCTCAACCAACCCTGCGCCATAGCTCTGCAAATGAGAGAAAACATCTCAGTTTGTTGTCGGTTTCAATTTACGGTACTCACAAATGGTTTGGCCTCTTTCGATGAACACAAAGGTATCATTCTGTTGTGCGAACGATAAGTGGATACGCAGATTAATTGTACCTCTGACATCTTTTGGAGGAGCAATTAAGTGTTCTGCCTGTCACTGAATGTCGCTAGGATATAGATGAGAACCCCTTTTGATTGAACTGTTATTTAAATTTAAAAAAAAAAAAAAAAGGTACCATTCAAACTGAAATGATACCATGCACAGTATTTTGTACCTGCTCTTCGACAAAGTTCAGCAGACATTAAGTCGAAGAAAAAGTTGTTTTTATGTCAGTCCTGCATTCAATTTTCAATGATAATCAATGTTTGCAAACAGGAAGAGAATGCCAACACTTTAGAACTGACCTGTTGCCCCTTTGTGTATATTGGGTCCTGGTCCTCTCTCAAGAACTCCTCAACGGACACTAAACGTTTGTTCTCTTGTTCCTCCTCTACCTCGGAGTCCAGTGGTGAAGTGCTTGGGGGTCGGAGGATTAATGTGTCCAAAGGGTTAAGGAGGTCTGTGATTGGGGCTTTGGGTGGTGTGGGGATACGCTCCGGCGTTACAAGTTTGGCACAGGGATCTTCAATGAACTCTGTAATGGACGGAAAAGGACGAATAGTTCCAGGGCTGTCTGCATCTCTGCGTTGATCCATCATGGCCGCTGGGACCACCTCTGCCGTTTGCGTGGGTGCTATTACAGGAGGTGCTTGAGGAGCTGACAGAGAGGGGGATGTCGCATTAATCTGGTGAAATAAAAGAACAGTCAATTGGACATATTTAACTCAAAGACATGTTTTGAATCACGTTGATTGCAGGCTTGTCGAGCGAGGATTACCACTGGGGTGATGATTGACGTAACGGGTAACGTGGCCTCACACGCAGCCATGGGAGCAGATGTGGGGTCGGCCCAAGCCCTTACAAATGTGGCTGATGACGCCAAGACCTCCGAGTGTGGGACATGAGGACAGTTGGCAGCGGCCTCCACCGTGAGGCTAGAAATGTGTGTGTCTGGAGGTGACGGGCAGAGAGGCGTGGAGGCTTTGGCAGCAGAGTTTCCCAAAGAAAGCAATGAGGCCAGGTTTGTGGGTCCCACAGGGTTGCAGGCGAGGGGTGGCACTACCGGGGTGGTTGCAACCGGGCCGGCCATTATAGCAGGTAGCCTGGAGGGCACATTGACTGGAAAAGAGTCACAAGACTCCCCGTGTGCAGACATGGTGCGAACAGTGAGCTCCTGAGCTGCCTGTAGGGACTGGATCTGCGAAGGCCCCAGCAGAGCACTGCCGGCTGTTGGGGAAGACACCTCCAGCACCTTAGATTGGAGACGAATCCACATTAGAATGAGGACATCATCGACTCATTTCAAGTCCCAACTGCCTGTTTGAAATTGAGGGTCATACCTTTTTCTTATCTGCATATATAGTGTATCCAGTGACACGGACTCCATTGGAGGTTCCCGCACAATCGATAGTGACCGGCAGCCAGCTGATGAGGGCAATACCTGGTGAAGGACCGTGTTCCAACTGTACATCCAATGGAGCATCAGGGGGGCCTACAGAAAATCACAGCGTTAAGTAAAAGGTACATGACAACAAACATTTTTTTTTTCATGAGCTGATGAAACGGGCAATTACAACTACGATTCGAAAAGGGACTTTCAGAAATGAATAGACCGTGATATACCTGTGTTCCCAGACTGTGGGCATGAAACTTAAGCAAATTTGAGGTGATCATTTAGTGAACTGAATTCAGAGGTGACACTGTTCACTGTGCTAAGTATACCAAATACTTTTTTTTATAACAACAACAACAAAAAAAAACTAACTAATGCAACCACTACTACCATACTAATCTTCTAAAATATTTACAAATAATGTAATCTTAGAGGGGAGGGAACGCCCACACATACACCAAACTAAGTTATGATGTACACTTGACTGCAGGATTTAAAATTCAGTCCATTTCCCTTGAATGGGAAAAATATTCAAAACTCACAGATGATGTGATTAAGCGACACGACTTTCGTTAACTCATTCACTCCCAAAGACGTTTTTAAACGTCTTTTCAGACTTGGTCCAGAATTGGCTGGTCCTGAATGAGTTAACATTGGCAAAAACAATATAAAATCCTGACCTGCCATTCGTGTACTGAAGTTGATGCTAGCACTTCTGCGTTCACGTCGCTCCACGGGTAACTCCCAAGGCGTGCGGTGGGGCCGCGCCTCCACTTTGACTGTGTACTGCAGGCTGGGTAAGAGGTTATTGAGGCACAGCGAGTAGCTTCCAGCCTTCACCAGCTCGCACTCCTGCTCATTCAAGGACACAATGTGCACATAGTTGCTGTTGCTGGGGAGCCAGGACAGGTTGGCGGAGGTGGCGGTGACCCTGTCCACACGCAGCTGCGTAGGGGCCACACAAACGTCCCGACCAATGAGCATACTGCAGCGCAGCTGGTCTGAGAGTCCCTTTTCTGTCAGGCTTTGCACAGATACACGGTAGGCCTTGAGGTTGATGTCGAGCCTCTCTAGCACCGCCTTGGTCTGAGCACCGAAGGGCACATTGAGCCGGAGCTCCTGGTCCACATACACATTATAACTCCACACATTGCCCCACCCAGCTGGCACCAACGGAGGGTCCCAGCTGATGATGATGCTTTTGGCAAGCTGCTTGATGAGGGTGAGCTTACGTGGGTAAGGCACAGTGTCCACGCCCACCTCCTCCAAATCCACATCCAGGCCATTGGTGAGTGGGGCTGAAACAGCCAAGGCCGAATTGGAAGAGGCTGAGGCGGGGCCACAGAGAGAAGAGGCCTCCGTTCTATCTGAGGTGCGGACACTTGTGTGGAGGTGATGCTGGTGGCTGGCACTGTGCAAACTGCTGTCTAGCAAAGAGTTGTGGGTTACGTCACTAGTCTCTGGTGGATGAGTACCCATGACATCGTCGTCCGATACACGTTCCACAAAATTTGAGGGAACCAGCCCTCTCCTTCCATCTACCAACTCGCCTAAAAAGATCACAATGAAGTGACAGCAACATGAAATTGTACAGAAAACAATGTATTGTTAAGACTTACCTTCATAGAAGCCATCATCATCCACGCCACCGTACACATAGATGTACTCTCCAGCAGTGAGTGGGAGCTCCATTTCAGGATTATCATTGGGGCCATCATAAGGATTATAGCTGTTTCACATGCATTCACCAATACGTTAGACTATGATAAGACTCTTTCTATAATGTGTCGATTCTTATTCAAAAAAATGACAAACTTCAGATTCCTAAATGTACAAACCTGTATCGTGCAATAAAAACCTGCAGCTTTGATGCACTTCTGCAGGCGGTGTAAGGTGCGGGGGCCATGTCGACATCCAGCTCATCAACCTCACTGGCTGTGTCAACCTGAGAATCACAAACAAGGCGTGAAGCTGCACAGCTCCATGAACAAAATAACAGCGTTGGCTCATCCTGATAGATACAGTATCATGCCATGAACTTTTCAAGTGAGAATAAAGCAACATCAACAATGTGTTTTCTTCTTAAGAGTAAAAATCTTGAACTAAACATTATTTACGTGACAAACTCTTAAAGCATGGTGACAAACACAAGGCCCGGGGGCCAGATCTGGCCCGCCACATCATTTTATGTGGCCAAATCAACCAGGTCAACTTCCATGACGCATGCCAAAATCTGTACCAAATTTCAAATTGTCATATGTCGTAAATAATCATGTTGAGCTATTGCAAGCATTTTCTTGTTTTACATTACTACAGAAACTTGAAAAACAGTGGAACGAACAAACAACTCTCCTGTCTCGACTTTTGATTTCAAAAACAGTTATCTATGAATTGTATACTGTATTTTTAATAATATGAGGAGGTGATTAAACATTTGTCCGGTTTCACAGTCATAATGGCCCTCTGAGGGAAACTGTGACTACAATGTGGCCTGCGACAAAAATGAGTTTGACACCCCTGTCTTAAAGTGTCTGTAAAATACCCGCAGGGTCAATTTCCATTCATCAGAAAACACATTATACAGCGAGGGGGATATTTTTAGCTTCCCGGTAAACCATTTTACAACTACTACCATTTGATCCACATAATCCAGTGGCAGGTGGATTATTTTACCAAACATGAGCTTTATTGAATTGAAGGGAGACCTGTAGACTGGATGATAAGACCTCTGACCTAACCTGTCTGTCACACAATACGCAGTAAGCACAAGAACCCAAGAGCCTGTAAACAATTTCATGAATGGAAAAGCTTGTATGCTGTATATTCAGCTAATATAACACTTTTTTTGAACCCCAGTTATTAAATGCATCAGATTTGCCTTGAGTTAACCATTGTACGCCCGCTCTCTTCTACCTCATGTGACGGGCTTGATTTGTGCGGACTAAGGTGAGTCTCCGACTTTGGGGTGAGGTTTGTCGTCTCAGACTTGCTGGAGGACGAGGCTGACTTGCTGACACTGATTGTGGGAAGTTCGCGATGCTTGGTGACCGGCGAGCGCTCCACCCTGGACAGCCCGGCAGCATGGGGGGTGGTCCCCATGCGTAGTGCAGCAGCCACATCTAACAGGGGGAGAGGGAGACAGAGAGGACAGCGGTAATACACAATCCACTTTACCAGATCGCTCTCACGGGGGGTAGCTCTGTTGGATCCATGAGCGGCTAGGTGGGTGAGGTCACTGGTTAACATGCAAAAAAAAAAAATAAAGCTCAAGGTTGAACCTGACTGATTAAACAGTGGAGAAAAATCCTGCCTCCATCTGTCTGTAGTCAGAGGTCACACTACCTTGTGGTAGCATGTGTCACACCGGCATCGCTAAGGGGCTTAACTGATTCCACGGACAGTTTTCACCTCAGCTCTTGAGCAGAGTCCCATGCAAGTTCCGTGACAGTGTTGAGTGCAGATGAGATGACGGGTTTGAACATGCCATGCTTTTTTTCCCCATATATTATGAGTAAGAGCGACAAAAAAAAAAAAAAAAAAAACAGTACCGAGCGGATCATTACCCTCAGCGCATGAGAGAGTGTCACCTCCCTCGAGACTCCAGAAGGCTATTTCGCTCAGAGACTCCATATCCCATGAGCCATCTGTGCAGTCTAAAACACATGAACAAGTAAGACGTTTGATGTATGGGCAAGATGTGTGAAGTTGTCAGATTTGCCCAGAAATTGACTGTTCAGTGTCAGCCAGATGGTGTTAGAATCGCATCAAGCATGCTGGAAACGCTCCACCGTGGAGAAATTAGACCAATCCTGTACTTGCATCACAATTAATACAAGTAGAGATGAAAATAGCTGAAATACAGTATTAACATGTTATTTGTATTAGAGGTAGCTGCAGCCTTTTTATATGAAGGCATTTTATCAATGACGTTTTACTCTTAATACAATCAGTACAGTTAATGTATGAAAACAAAACTATTACAGATAGTTTTGTATTAAATCGACTGAAACAGAAAAAATGCTTATGGAGCAGTCGTGCTTCACCTTGGTGAAGGTTGTGAACCCACCCCCAAGATTCATATGTACATTCAACCAAACCCTTTGTAAATGGAATCAACATTGGGACAAGGAATAATTTAGTGGTGCATAAAATGAAAAATGCCTAAATTGCACATAAATTCCCCGTTTTCAAAAACAAAACAACAATTTCACACAAAACATTGATTACTGACTGCCAATAAATGTGCCTTTTGTTGTTGCCTGACAGACAAGTTCAGAAATGCGTAGCATCACCATGGCAATTTCCTTTGCTTCCATTTTACTTTTTTCTACCATTTGCAAAAGCATTGCTCAAAATGTCATAACGTGGCAAAATGTCTAACCAAAAGGTACGCAGACATCATTAATGATATGAGTTGGGTGACCACAACGGACGCCCACTCTGAGTGCGTTTCTCGACCACCACAAAAACAACAGACAGGCTCAACGAATCACTGGGCTTCAATCAAACCCAGATGAAGAACCTCTGTTTGTAAACCCTTTCATCTGACTGTACACAGAAGTCAAGTCACAAAAAGTATTTACAACAATATATTCTATGTGCCCCTACTAGTCTAAAGACGGCATTCTCATGAATCAATTTTTATTATTTTGCCACTTGCTCTCAATTGAAAATGACATTACATTTGCTCAACAACCATTATCCGTTTTCTGAGTCTGCTCGTGACGTTCGCGAGTTGAGGTGGTTGGTCATGACCTGACTCCTGCGCAAATGTGTCGTCATTCTCATTCGACTGTAAATGGAAAATTGGCCACCCCCTCAGATAGAGGGGAAAAAAAAACAGGTGGATTTTGCTGCTTAAATCATATTCGACAAACAGCATATTAATAAGGATACCGTGTTTAGACTCATGGGGCCACATAAAACATAATATTAGCAAGAAATTCTTTGACTTTCCTCCACCTTTAATAAATGGTAGAAAATCTATGACGTCCATTGTAAATGCCTAGAAAGGCAGATTTTTATTTTTAAAAAATAGTTAAGAAAGAAAGAAAGAGCAAAAGAGTTATGATTATAACTGAGCTGCAAAAAAATGTTTTATGTAATACCGTGTCCTTTTTTATCATACAATACACTCAATAATACAACTTCACTTCAAATCCGAACAATTAATACTTCCAGTTGGGTGGCTTTTGCCTTTGTTTGTGTGATTTACCTCGCTCTGTTGACAGGCCCACACCATTCGTCAGAAGAGAGAAGCCGGGGTGGTTCAGAAGGCCGGCGCCGGCATGGTTCGCCTTCGAGGCCTGCAGTCGAAATTTCTCCAACTCTCGGGACAACAAGCCAAACTGTTCACTCTGGCTGCGACATTTCTCCTCCAGATCTCGCACCTTTGACTGAGCCAAAGAATTGATGACATTGTTTGGATCATTATGTCAGCCAAAATGAGGTTTCTAAATCTGGGAGTCACACAGCAGCACACATTTTCATTATCCCCAGTTGCAAACAAAGTGAATTGAAAACGGTGCAACTAAGGGGGCACTCATGTCAGTCGAGTTCAAGAAAGGAGTGACAGTGTTCCTGAATTTTACCCCATACTTCACTCCAGTAACTGCAGACATTCTTAATATTTGAATCCTGCAATTATTGTACTCAAACGCCACAATGTTGTTTTGATTTATCTGCACTACATTCTCACTGCTGGTCGTTAAACCACTCAAAGGTAGTTGACCACCAGCCTTGTTTTATCCGCTACTGTAGATTTGATTTTTAGATTTTTCTTCCCTATTACGGTGATGTACGATTTGTCAGACACACACACAGCTAGTTGGAGCACTGCTGACGTTCTGTATGGTGTGAAGGTTGGGCTTGCGGTGAGGGTTTCCTGGTTGCATTCGCATAAAATAGTCTGAACGTTTCCTGTGTGCAACACCTACACTAGCATCATTTTACATGCATACTGAGATGCACAAACTAAGTTGAAGATGATTTTTTTTAACGTGTTGAGACCCAGTCTGGCATTGTAGCATAATCACATTCATTTTTAAAAACTCTAGTCATAAGGACCAAAATGATGTGACTGTCTCAATTTATATGGTTCACGCTGATAACCCAAAAATATTGGGCCAGAATGAAATGAGCCAAATGGGCAAATAGAGGTTATCGATGTATTGTGATTTTAACGACAGAGACTAGGGAGGACTGTGCGTCAGGGAAGATTAATCTGCAGTGCATGGGCTCAAGCAGGTTAAAGGTCAACAGTACCTGCATGCAGTCCAGTGTACTCTGGTTAGCACAGACATAAAAAAGAAAATGGAGGGAAGGGGGGAAGAAATTCAAATACATGCTTCTGAAACAACAAACTCGGAAACACCTTAAAGAGCCAGAGTCAGCAAGAAAATCCTGTCAAGATGCAGTTTCACCAGAATGTCTCTTGGCTGTTAGCAAATAATTAATTCTCATAAAGTCTTTTTTCGTTTTCTTGAATCTGTCAAATAATGGCCAATGCAAGTATAGCTACACAACTCGTGTTTTCAGGAAGGACAGAGACTTTCTACAGTGATGCTTTTGAGTTAAATAAAGGGACAGAATGTTCAACCAAGAAGCCAAGCAACAGGAAGTAGCATTATAAGAGGGGCAGCTATACTCTACCATCTCCCTCCGCAACACAAGCTGAATCAACTCCTAAAATCAAACACACAATTCATTAAAAGAACAAAGTGCCATGGGCTAAATAGCATGGCAGCAAACTAACACGGGATATGACACGTTTGATGTCAACCATCGGTGTTATGTCGACAATGTGATACTGGCTAAGGCAGCAGATCGCTGTTGCTATGTGCAAGGCATTTAAAATTCACACAGGAAAAGACACTCAATAAAAAAAAAAGACTTTGCTTAGTGTGGTCTGAAAACTTGAAATAAAATAAAAGTATCTTGAAAAGTCACGAGTCCGTTAGCGCTTTAATGGAATACATAGGAAGTCTAAAACAGCAATTAGGTAACAGCTAAATATGTCTGCCTGTGGTGAGATATCACAGGGCCATACAATATAGAAAGTCAATACATTATAGATTTGGTATGTTCACAACCTCCCCTCCCCAAAACACACACCACCACATTATACCAGTGGAATACAACCTCACCTCCAACATCTGGACCACCCCTTCATGTTCCCTCTTGGCAAATAACTGAGCCTTAAAAAAGACAAAATAAAGAAAAAATAAAATCACAAAGATGATTGATTTAGGTGTACACATCATTCTCAGTCAAAACAATTTGAAGACAACCAGGGGGCTTTATTCGTGCCCCAAGGGTGCCTCCTGCTGGGCAAAACATTTCATAAACAAAACGGCGTGGCGGAGGCTGTGGTTCGTACCCGTTGTAAGCGTTTGATTTCATCCTGCTTGAACTTAAGGATAGCCAGTGCCTGCTCATGTTCCAATTCCAACTGCTGCCTTCGCTCAGCGACCTCTCGCATATGCTGCTCAAAAAGACAAAATATTAGTGGTGAGTAGTGAAGAAAGCAGTGCAGATTTAATTTAAAAAACAATTGAGGCCCATTGTACACCTTTAGGACCTGCTCTAGGTTCTCCAGTTTGGCACAGAGTCTCTGATTCTCCTCGAGAACTGAATTGTGTTGAGCGGTCACTTTAGAGAGTTCTTCCCTCAACTCCTCATTCTCAACTCGAGTCTGTGAAACACGATCATTTTAATGTCCTTCGTTGTCATTGCTTTTCTTGTAGACCAAACTTCAACATTACCCCGAAAATGTGTTGGTATATGAAGTATTGGCTTGTCAGAAATGTTCCGTACAATACGGACACAAACCTGGTCGAGCAGCTGTGCCTTCCTCCTGAGGAGATCCGCCTCCTCCTTTAGTTTCTCATTTTTGCCCTGCTCATCCTCAAGCTGGCTCTCCTGTCATTGAAACACCAGAAAGTGTTTGAATAAAACAATCTCAGTCAAGGTTTAGGTTTAATGCATTATACAGATCGTAAGTACAGTATAACAAAGACAAAAAGATGATCACTTACCAAATCCAGGCATTTCTTCTGCCGCTTCTTTGCTTCATGCTCAAGATTTTCACATTCTTTTCTCTTCTTTGTCAGCTCACTCTCCTAAAATTGCAACAATGAATACCAACAAAGTTAATTTGGCTATATCATCATTCTGAGAAATTGATACGGGCTTGTGAATGGGTCTAAACATCATTTTGGTGGGGTACCTCATGGAAACCATAAGTGAGATTCTCGAAATCTGATCGTTTTTTTGGGTGATGAACAAAACAATATTTCATTTACAATTTCAGAAAACACAGCATTCAGTTTCCATACAGACATCCTGTATGATAGCAACGAGGCAGTACGCATTTTAGCATGATTTCATTATTCTAAATGCAGTTTACATGTCGTGCCAGCATAAGAGAAATCGCTTATTTCAAGGCCACTGGACTACCGTGTGATCATTTGAAATACACCTCTGTAGAACAAATATGAGCAATTTTTCAACAAATTAATTTCATTTCATAGCAAAAACGTGGATCCCCATAAATGGACTCATACTAGTCACTGCTGCTAACAAGAACAGGTTGAACTCCCTTGATAAGTTTCAATGTCACGCAGCTGAATGTAGTACTGGAAGTGTGTACATCACGTTCGAGCAAGTCAAAACGTCCCTTCTTGCTCTCAGCCGCTAAAGGAGTGACTGACCAGATAGTGAAGATGCTTCTCCTCTGAATTTTTCTCCTGATGGGGGGGAGTCGGGCTAAGGCCCGAGTGGGGCGTCACTGGGAGCCCCGACTCCTCCTCCTCTCTGGGAGTCTTCTCACAAGTAGATGGAGATTCATCGAATGGGGCACACGGGGTTTCTCCTACAACCTGACATGAGAAGCAGAAATCGGCTAAGTCAGGCATTTTACATTTATAGACTTATCCATCCATCCATTTTCCGATCCGCTTTATCCTTACAAACGTCGCCGGGGGTTCTGGACCCTATCCCAGCCGTCTTCAGGCAGTAGGCGTGGGACACCCTGAACCAGTTGCTAGCCAATCGCAGAGACGAACAACGGGACAATTTTGAGTGTTCAATCAGCCTGCCATGCATGTTTTCGGAATGCGGGAGGAAACCGGAGTACCCGGAGAAAACCCACGCAGGCCCGGGGCGAACATGCAAACTCCACACAGGGAGGCCGGAGCCGGGATTGAACCCAATCTGCACTGTGAGGTTGACGCGCTAACCACTGGACCACCGGGCCGCCCATTCATAGATGTAAATCTTGCCAATAATGTTTTGATAACTGCGTTGCAAAAAATCCATTGTTGAATTGATCCCATTCCATTTTTGGATGAACCTTAGCCAGTGTCTGACAAGGGAGTAACTATCCAACTGTAGTTATACGAAACTTGACACCCCCCACCAATTTGTGAGTGACTGATTATCAGCGAGCCTCCTTAGCCGGTGTCTGGCTAGAAACAACGAATAATCCACGGGGATTCCCCCGAGCCTGTAACATGACTACAACACATCAGGAAGAAGCTTTTACATTGGAATTAGGAAGGATATAATGACTTAATGACAGAAGGATACAGTATTCTTACAAAATACTGGCAGTTCTTTTTATAAAGCGTTGGATCTTTCCAATTGTCTTCTACCCAACTGAGTGCAGTCAGGCTGTTAAGAGTTGTGAAGCATTATCTAATTTTAGTGCAAACCTACTTATGGTCGACAGCTGAAGAAGTGACTGTGCTAGTGACGCCGAAGGCCACAACCTAATAACAGGATCGGCAGTACTCAGCCACAGCTTGCAGAAGGAGTCCGTCTTATACACAGGTGTCAAAGTCAAGGCCCGAGGGCCAGATATGCCCCCCCGCCCACATCATATTATGTGGCCCGCGAAAGCAAATCAAACATGGCAACTTGTGTGATGCTTGCTAAAATACGTTTTCAAAAAATTCAAGTTCTCATATGTAATAAATAAGAGAGATATTGTAAGCATTTTCTTGTTGCCAAACACCTCATAACAGTAACTTCAACAATAGTTGAATAAACCGTTATTCTTGACTTCTTTATATGATTTCCGTCATAATGGCCCTCCAAGGGAAACGGTAACTAAAATGTAGCCCGCGACAAAATGGGTTTGACACCCCTGCTCTTTTAGATTTATCTGACACATTTGATTATTTATTTATTCAGATTCAGAATGGTAGAACCCAATTGTTGATAGCAATGAACACGTCATTCTTCATGAAGTCGGTGGCGAATTAGCAATGGACAAACAAACACACAGACTACTGTATTCAGTTTCTTCTTATTCCCTTTTTGACATGGTCTTTTTAAATATCTATCGTAATCAGGTTACGGTGCAAAATTAAATCAGTTCATGCAAATTAATAAGGTGGGTGAACGCACACATAATGAAAACTACTACTTTGGGAAATAATTAATGAGCAACAACAAACGCAGCAAAAGCAAAAAAAAAAAAAAAAAAAAACAGCTCCTTCAAACTATACAAGGCTAAAAAAAAGCGTTTGTGCACAGTAATTTGCGAGTCTTTGCATTTTGTGCTTCATAAAACACAATAAATATCCTAAAAAACCCAACAGGTTTCTCATTTCTTTCCGATAATTAAACAGCAGAGGCAGTCCCAAAAAGCTTCGCCGGTCTGATCGTGCGTGCCGTAAGGCATTTACGTCACCTACGTGCGGGTAGTCAGCAGGTTGAGGCAGTCGAGGCAAATTCGATGCTACTTAGGCCAGAGCAGCAAGCAAGCATTAAGCCTTAGCTGGCTACTACTGTGGCTAAACGTTGATTCTTCCAAGTATCGTTCTCACAAAGGGATTACGAGGAGTAATTAACAGGGTGAAATGCGGAGAAGCCATGCTAATTGCAATGCTAAGCTAATGTTACCGTGAAACACCGGATTTAAGTACTTGAGTGATTCAGTACGCTTTGACAGAAGCCTGTCTGGAGCCCCGTTAAAGCACAGTGCTGCACCTTACATTTCTTTAACTTTGTGGCTTGTTTACATTATGCCGTGGTTTCATTTTATTATGAAAGACGGCAGGTAATCAGTAATAACGGTCAGTTGGAACGATCGGATAGACGTGTTAGCATGCATTTGATCCTTGCAAATCTAATAAACCAAACTTGAGGGGCAGGATGGATTGACTTGTATCCTTATATTTTGGCTTTCACTTTTGATCTTACAATGGACCCCCGCATATTTGCGGTATGCCATTCACAAATTCATCTATTTAAGAAATTTCTTTTTTTCCTATTTGTTGATAACCAGTTCTGGCTCCTATTCTTTTTGTTCTTATCATTTGTTTTGTTTACGTGGTTTTTCTCCGGGTGCCCCAGTTTCCTCCCACGTTCCCAAAACATACAAGGCAGGTTAATGAAACACTCGAAATTGACCCTAGATGTGAGCGTGAGCGCGGATGGTTGTTCGTCTATGTGTGCTCTGTGATTGGCTGGCAACCAGATCAGGGTGCACCCCGCCTACTGCCCGAAGACAGCGGAAAACTTGCAAATATGCGAATCCGCAGTATGCAGGGGTCGACTGCATTTTACCGTTTAAACTATTAAGATCGGAAAATATAATCACTGTGACTGCGACTATTCGCATATTTTTAAAAACTATTCAATCGGACTCCGCCTCTACTCCCTGCAAACAGTGGGAGTCCACTGTATTTGAATTTATTACAACGACCACAGCCGTTTTCATATCCTGTTGGACAGGGCATTCTGAAACAAATTACAAAATGCATTATTTCTTCAACAACAAAAGGTACCGCCCCTATTATAAAGTGTGCGGTGCTTGTCGATATGTGCATGTGTCTCTTTCCTGAGTTTTTAGCAAAGGTCTAGACACAAATAATAACGTTTACAATTCAAAACGCCTGCTGCCAACATCTACAGCACTCAAATCGGAGGAGTGAAACAGCAGCAACCCGAAAGAACAAATGTGTGCAGTCAAGTTGTGACTCTCTGTTGCCCTGTACTGTATAAGTGAGTACTTGACTCATTAGCTTTCTGTTGCAAGGTATTTACTTAAATAGATGCTCCAGTCATACAGCATAAATACATCTTTACCCCAAACAGTCTGCCTATCAAAGCCAGTTAATCGGGCCAAAGTGTTGCTTGAGGGACAAAGGTGACCGGCAAACTTCCTGGCTTCAGAGGCAGAACGGCCAGTGTGTAAACCAGTATAGCGGTAAACCAGGGCCAGGAAGTAAATCTGGCTCACTGCTTACGAGGCGAAGTTCATTCACACCCAGGATCTTGCTCATGAATATGCCTTGGATATATCAGGGCTTTGGATAGCGATCAAACCTGCAATTTATTTAAAAAGACGATCACTGTCTCATCAGAACTTAACCACCCAGAAGCATTCCGGTTGCCCCAAATTTCTGGTACAACTATGTGTGTACGGTAACCAGAAATCTTTTTGAAGCTCTATCTTGGTCTGTGCCGTGGTAATCATTGTGTCTCTGAGCTCTTAAAGCAGTTCCTCCCACCTCCCGACTCGGTTGTTTCTCTATTAATAGCTTTGTCAGCTGTGAGGCTTTATATAGCCAGCTTCAGTCAATTGATTTAAACAAAGGCCCAGGGCTCGAATGAAATACACTCGTATGACACTGCAGATTTTTCCTTTTCGTTTTCACAATACAGGGTGTGGTGTCTTTTTTTTCCGCCCCCATTCTTGGATTCATCTTTTTAAAAAAAACACTTCAACTTGTATTGTTTCTTCAATACTGTTACTGTTTTAACTTGGTACCTGTCTGTAATAAGAGTTATTCTTGCACTTTGTACCTGCAATGAACAAAAAGAAAATAATGTTCGTGCCCCGACGAGCTGAGACTCAAGTGTTATCAGACTTGGCATTTTATCTTCAAAGCCAACCCTTGGTGTGCAGAAATACAGCAGATTGTGTCGCTTTGCGGTGACGGACAGGAGCCTTTTGCTGGAGGCCTCGTTCACGAAATTCAAACAGTTAGCCAATTAAAATCTTATCAATTCACATAACACACAACGTGAACTAAGAAAAGTGCAAGTTCGCACGAATGAACTCCGATACTACATTTTTATCAAAGGCAGGTGCGAGGCTTACTTAAAATGTTCGGAGAACACACAGTGTGAAATGCTAGCAAAAATACAATGACTCATTCAGCTGCACTAATTTAGCAACGTTGGTAAATAGGTCGAAGCATGACATCAGTCCTAAGATGGCTGGCAATTTACAGGAGAAGGTGTTTACCCAAATAACATCATTTCATGTATAGAAGGCTGTATTCAGCTCATCGTATGGAGGCCTCATATGGACGACGCACACTGAACATCGTACTAAAATGTATACACATTTCCCTTCCAGCATCCAGAACGGCCTAGCAGGACCTAACGAACTGTGTAAGCCACTACTGCACATTGGCAGTGTGCGGGCTTCTGCCACACGATTTCACCAGTGGGCAAGTCTCAGCTCCTGGTCTTGTGGCGATTCAAAACTTGAATTGCATGATGTGGCGCAGTGGCAGATTGTAAATTGTCAAGTACTAAGAAGCTTTCACACACAAAAAATAAATACATTTCCGAATTTAACCCAATGCCGCCATATCATTCTAACACACTGTGTTTTACAACAATACTGAAGCATATTTTCAATTTCATATGTCCCAATGGATAAAATAGTGAAGCCTGCAGGAAACATTTTAGTGAATGGGGCACACCTCCCTGGGTCCGTTCGCTTGAATGAAAACTCGCTTTCATCAACCTCCGGCGGGCCGCCCCAAGCCACCAGCCCCCATGGCGGGAGGCCATGACCATCAAGTCGGAACACTGCCGAGGCTCCATTATGTCTTCATCGCGGTCAAGACCACTGAAAGGTTTCACGGGACATGTCTTACCCTCCTTTTGGAGACCTGGGGATCTCTCGTTTATTTGAATTAAAGAACTGAGATGCTAATTTTTTACCACAAAAGCGTCACTATTTCATCCATTGGTTCATAGAAAATTGACTGTAAATATCGTATTGTTTTAAGATACATGTGCTACATGCTACAAATAAGCACCGTGACCTAATAATATGAGCCAACAGGTCAAATCGTGTAAAAGAGCAGATCTTTTCAAAAGGGATTGTCACAAAGTTGAGTTCAAAGTAAATATAATCAGCATCCATGTGGTGTATAATTCTGACATACTTTTTACAAAAAGGGCACACAGTGAGAACTTTACATAACGTCTCACGGATGAAAGATGGGGTACAAAAGCATCGTCACGTTAACAACATCATGGAATGTCCAGATGAAAACGGAAAACAGAATGAAGGGTTCGTTTTTGGCCACATGTATCAACGTCGAGCATCCCAGGGTGTATCACAGTTGTTATCCAAAGTTGGCTGGAAGAGATTCCAGCTCACATGACCCGAACTAGGACAATTTGCGATAGAAAATGGATGAATGTATAATCAAACAAGAATGAAAGAATTCCACCTCCAAAGCTTCAACAATTAGTGTCCTCGGTTCCCAAAAGCTAACTGAGTGTAGGTCAAAGGTCAAAGGTGACGCAGTGATACACATGCCCTTGGCCCAAGGTTTTTGGAACGTGGTTGTCATGTTTTGTGTGGTGGTAGTTTTTGAGAGGACCCCAAAAAGGCATCAAATTCAAAACGAATGAATATTTAACAAAAAAATAAACACCAAAAAAAAAAATATGAAGTTTATCAGCTTGAACCTAAAGTATCTTGTCTTTGTAGTGAATGCAAATGAATATAGGTTGAAAAGGATTTGCAAATTAGCATATTCTGTTGTTATTTACGTTTTCCACAACGTCACAACTTCACTCGAACCGATATTTGTATTTCATTGAATTCATTCTCTGCTCTTTCCCCGCTTTGGTCCAAATTCTGTATGTCCCTTTAATGAAAAACCCTCTTCCATGTAACTGTCGCAGAGTAGATTGGGAAAAAAAAGTGGGCTTCTTCTCCAGATAAAATAATGACAATGGCATCTTGTTTGTGTTGTGTGTCCACTGTTTCTATTGATTATTTATCCATGCCGCACAGTCAGCAGTGATAGACTGTGAGCCCCCATAACCCTGCATATCATATGGCGATGTGTATAAAAAGTATGAAGGGATAAATGGATGTGATTTGCTGGTGAATTGGAAGCTATGCCCCAGAAGAGAAACCAGACTACAGCATTGACGGAGGTGATAGCATCAGAGGCCCAGTCAACCTTTGCTAAATGGGACACAGTCTCATGTTTAGAAGATTTTGGTTGCATCACGTTCCCACTCCTATGTCACGGTGATGCTACGTGTTAACATTACTAAGGGCTTTCGCCCTGAACCACATTCCCACCACTGGAAGAGGCACAGGATTTATATTTCCTGTCCTCACTCATTCTTTCTCTCATAATATAGGTGCAGTTAAACTACGGTAATTAAGTATTCCTGCACACATCGGTCAACATCACTAGCCAACGAAAGGATTGCGGGATGGAGCCGGCCAAGGCCTAATAAGTACACGTCTAGAATCAACAGCAGTGCGTCTCTGTCTACACTCGAAACTGAAGGGGGTCCACGCAAACTAAAGGATCAAGAACAATCTGGGGCCCTGGAGCACTAACGCGGAGACACACTCCATTCAGCAGTCCCTGAGTGCCATAAGCACATTGGTGTAATCCCCGCAGACTACTGAAACGGGTAACTGGATCACTTCTTTTAAAAGCACCTTAATGGATTGGCCTGGCCGTTGATTTTCTTTTTAAATACAGATCATATCGCCGTCCAGCAGTCAAATGCAGGAGCATCCTGTCACCATCAGTCCGGATGCCTTTAATATCTGAAGGCTTCGAGATAAAAATTGGGGTTTGACTGTCCTTGAATAGGCCTTGTGCATTTAAAGTGTCATTTATAAAAAAAATAAATACTGTCAATCTCGAATAAAAGGTCGCCACAAAACATGTCTACAGGAATTAATATTAAAAGAGCTGCAAGACCAACGTGCAAAAGGCCCTTGGTCACAAGTCATGAGAGAACACAGACAGCGCTTGATAAAAGTAATAAAAAAAACTCCAACAGAACGTCTTAAGCAAGCTGTCACCATCCCAGATTGACACCCGGATATGTGCCATGTCAATGTTGAGAATTGCATGACTTGAATCTCACCTCCAACTAACTCAAATGAGGTAAAAGCTGAGAAGAACGGCCAACGGAAATGCAACGCCAAAACAACACAACCTCATCAAATGACCTACCCCTTTTGCGTGATCTGAGGCAACATCAAGGCTGTCGCCGGCCGGGCCTGCTAGTTATCCAGAGCAGGGCTCGGTGGAAAAAGTCTTTGCTGCTGCTGGAGTCTTACCTACCACCGAAAACCCTCTCACCGCTGCCACAGCAACAGAGAGCGGATTACTGGACTGTACCATTCTGTTGTTAGAGGGGATTAGAGTTCACACAACATGGCCCCGTTCTGGGTGTTCGTGTACCACGGTGAGTGCGTGTGTGCGGCCCACAAAGGAGAGATTACCACATTCGGCATTCTCATTTGAGCTTCCCAGGGAAAGACTGTACATCACAGACACTTGCGGATCAAGAGGAAGATACGTAGGGCATAACGCCATGCTAAACATTAACATCAACACACACGCACACAAAAAATAGTCTATTCCGTCACAGAAGTGATTCTCCCCTTGACACTTACAAATATATTGCGATCCACTAAATTTGCCATGGTGTGAAGAGATTTTCGTCTCTTTATAAACATTCGATTGGCGTTGCTACAGGTGTACTAACGTCAGCACCGCATTATGTAAGTGAGTCCTACATCTATGATCGAAGTGTATTGCTAACTTTAAAGTGTGGCCATGATATCAAAGCATCAATTCTGCAGCGCAAAGGGTAGCACGTGATTTGAGGAACGGGGATGCAGAGAAGGTCGTGTATTAAATGCAGAGAGAGGATCAAGAGTGTGTGTGAGTTTTGCATCTTTGATCAGGTCCAAGTTTGAGAAAGGGAATCATCTCATTATGGCTTGCGGCAGATTAGTATCGGCTCAAACGACAAGCCATTATATAACGCGGCAAAACAGCATGCGTGCCAAGCGGAAACATACTCTTCAGATTCAGGGCTAAATGTTCCGTTGCCAAGACGGTTTCCTCTCTTCCAATTTGGGGTGAAAAATATGTGGTTTACCTTTATGACAACAGATCAGCAGGATGGGAATACTTGAACATTATGTTGGTTTTTTTTTTCAAAAGTAATTTCCAGCAGAATCAAATCAGGGGCACTTGCTTGAAAAAAATAACTTGGCAGAGGTGGTCAATAAAAGTGTCGGCAGCGATTTTTACCTTCTCTTCCACGACCTCCACCTCAGCAGATGTCACGCAATTATCTGGGCCACCAGGATCAGGATTGTGGTTTTGGTGCGGTGTGGTCGAAGTGACGGCCAGCTGTCTTTGAAGCCGCAGAACCTCTCTTTGAGACTCTCTGAGAAGTTTCTCAAATTCGACTCTGCTTGAAGGCACAGGAGAACCCTACGAAGACACACGGCGTGGAGGATATCCATAAAACACAGATCACTTCGCTCCAACGAACTGATATTTCTTTTCTAGGAACTGGAGTGATCACATCATTGATTTGGTCAAGGCTGATGCTTGGAGGAGAGCAGTTTTTTTTTTTTTTTTTTTTTGGGGGGGGTTATTATTTATGGGAGTACAATTGTTGTCCAGCAGAGAGCAGACTTGAGCCAACATGAGCCAGATCCTGGACTGTCAGTTGAATTTAAACATTCCAAGATCAGTAACAATCCAACAAATCCGGAATCAATGAATAAAAACGACCAGACAATAAAAAAAATGATAATAATAATTAGGGCTGAGGGCATGACATGTAAGAAATTAGAAATGAAAATATACATACTTTAGCAGCGCCCAGTCGTGCCTCCAGTTCCCTGAAATCCTGCTGCAGCGCGGCGATCTCCTTTTCCTTACACAGCAGTGCATCCGCATGCTGGGCAAGATCACGTGCTCGCTGTCGTGCAAATGCCCTCTTGTAGTGTTCCACTGATCCGGGCCTTATCAGTGATGGAGAATTCACCTACAGGGCGAAATCTTAAGATATACTGTGACAATTTCCACAGTAGGGCAATGCCGACAGGTGGTTGCCGGCCATTCATTTTGCAAAGGGGCCACAAGAGAAACTGAAAAGCTTGCCAAGGGCCAAGCCAATGTGCGAACCTCAGATTTGTACTATATTATTTTTAATGTATTGAAAATAAAAAAAGCATATTGTCTCGTTTCGATAAAGTGTTACATGTGCAGCTATGGCACATATTGTTTTATGAGGAAATCGAAATTTTAAACAAAATTATTAACAGTCATTTAAATTACATTGTGTATGTCAGTACTGGTGTAAACCAAGAACTCCTTGTAATTTGATGTACTTACAATAAAACTTTATAGATTCAATGTCTAGATTGAACGTCACACAATTAACCAAAAATGTATGAATCACGAGGCTTTACGTGATCAGGGTTTTTTGGGTCGATCAGACGATTCAAAGAAAAAAAAAATGATAATCACAATTCGATCAGAAGATGACTTGCATATTTACAATCAAGCCCCACCACAGCGAAAATGCATTGGGAAAAAAAAAAAGATTTAAACCCCCTAAATCACAGGTGTCAAAGAAAAAGCCCGGGGGCCAGATCTGGCCCGCCCCCTCATTTTATGTGGCCCGCGAAAGCAAATCAAACATGGCAACTTCCATGATGCTTGCTAAGATATGGAGCAAAATTTCAAATTCTCATATGTCATAAATAAGAGACATATTGTAATCATTTTCTTGTTGCCAAACACTTCATTAAAGTAACTTAAACAATAGTTGGATAAATTTGTTATTCTTGACTTTTTTCTATGATTTCAGTCATAATGGCCCTTCAATGGAATCAGTAACTAAAATATGGCCCGCGATGAAAATGGGTTTGACACCCCTGCCCAAAATTATTCAAATAAATGCCGATTGACATTAATCACAAATAAAGTGAACATGTTTACAACATCGGTTCGGTATACCATTTTGAGATTCGCCTCTTGCAATTTCCGTGCCCTCTCCTCCAGCCTTTTGGCAAGCACTGCCAGTTCTGTGTTCTTCCTCCTCAGCCGCCTGACCTTCTCCTCCGTTTCTGGAGCACTGCTCTTCCGCTAAACAAATTACACACAACACCTGCAGTCAATACCAACTACACACCAAAAAAAAAAACCCTAAGTATAGTATTTACAACATATTCAGTATTAATCCAATATCATGAAAATCAGCTGTTGCTTTGAAACTTACCAACAGGCAATTTTCCTCCCTCAGTATGCTGCATGTCTTCTTAAGTTCATCCAAAGCTCGCAAGAGTTCAAAGTTCTGCCGTACCAGAAACCGGTAGTCTGCACCACTCTGGAACAAAAACCATTCAATAAATATTGTCACACAAGAATCACAACTTTTTTTTTTTTAATGATTTTCAGTTAGGATGCAAATTTATGCTACGCCAAGCTTGAGGCTTTTCATTACATCCACTCAATACGCTGACCATACTCTGTCAGCATAACGGGAAGCAGGTGAATCACTGACGGTGTGCCACACAGAAAGAACCAAGGAATAAAATCCTGTTGCAAAAAACGCTAATCATCTAAAAGTCTCATAGTCCTATCACTACAATCTTTTTTTTTCGACAGCAAAACAACAACAAAAAAAGTGCACAATGCAAATTCTGTCATGAATTCGTTTCTTGCTAATTAATGACAACCTAAATCATTTCCTGTGTGACGTACATTGTGTTGGAAGTTTACTGAAGGAAAAAAAACCCCATCAGAACAATACGACACAATAGACCTGATTTTAGTTTGCAGCACATTATTGGTATCCATCTTGTGCATATAAATTAAGATCAATCTGATTACATTTTTGTTTGATATTCTGAGTAGGTCTTTGTAAGGGACGCTGAAATAACTCCAGGCTGATATGGCTAAATGGCGAACATCAGCAATTTTTGGGAGCAGGCTGAACTCCCCCCTCTCTATACACAGACACACACTTTATAACACATGAGCACAAAGATAAGAGTTAGTCCGATCATCTGTGATGAATTTACCACAAAATAGTCAGCCTTAAGTATCAGTCTATCGTGACACTTGATTTGTACAACATCATTGTACCCATATCTTGAAGCACTCCAAAAGGTTGTTCGTTGCGTGATTTGATTTAGTAAACAGCAGCTTCTAATGCTCATGTACAAGTCGTGAACAGACTCGATGAAGTGTCATCTCAAATCTCCTCCTGTATTTATTACTCATTTACCCTTTGGGTGTCTGATACTGAAGGATAGGGGGGGGGTCTGCTTTAACCAGCAAGAGGACAAAGAGCCCATAACAGGCTGCTTTTGTGCCCCCCCCCCCCAAGCATTAGGCAAACTACACCAACATCCTCTGCAAGCACCTTCGGGGTATGATGTAAATAATAAATAAAGACATAAAATATGCTGACTGGTAACGGTTTTAGTGTGATTATCCTGCACAATGCCAAAAAAAAAAAAAAAAAAAAAAAAGCAAAGTATATTTTTTAGAAATTAGAAGACAGTCATTTTAGGTCTAATTAAAGTACTCTTGTGAAGGATCGTTAAGGTATTGGCAGCGGCGATCATATATCCAATTAACACAACACAGTCTGCAAGGAGAGACACGGCAGGCACCATTCAATCTGGAATGATATGAACAACCGCAAATGAAAAAACAATTATGTTACATTTTGTATCTCTATGACAGGCTGGGGAGCCCATTTCAGAGCAAACTATTAGCAAACACAATTAAAAAAAAAAAAAAAACATGATCATGGCTGCATCGATTTCTTTCACTGTCACCACTGCAGGTTTCACTGGATAATATCGCAGCAGTACTGCCAACTGAAAGGATTCAGAGATATCTCCAAAGTATAGAACCAAACTGTTGTCCAAATTACAAATATGTCGAAAGGACTTATTTCTAAAAACATATAAAGTATATTCCATTAAATACAGTGTGATATTGAAGTGACTGCATTTGCATTATACAACAAAAGCAGTTCATGACCTCCGACCCAAGAGACCATCTATATGCTTTGCAACCAGACAGCTAGACGGTGGGGTGAGTTGGGGGCTGCTCTCGAGAATAGCCGAACCCTCACGTATCAATTATTCATTAAGTAATAATATGCAAATATGCAGGAACCATGTGGGAATATAAGCATTTAGAATCAGTGATGGAAAACACAACTTACAGTCACATATTTAAAAAAAAAAAAACACACACAAAGAGATGCAGGCAGCTATTATCACACACTAGGTGTCAGTTTTTTTTTTCTAAGAGGTAGAAAATTGGTTCTCCAAGCATTTCAAACAATGTGATTTAAGGTGGACGGTTCAAGCAAAGGAATGATAAAGTCTTATAATGAGGTCTTAGTCAAAACTAGAGTGCTCCACTTTTGACTCTCCCACAGGTACACAAAGTAGGTCGATTCAGATATGCAGTGCTGGCATGAGCGTCTTTTGCCAACACGTTTACACCTTTGAGCGACATGGTCTCCATTTGGCCTGTCCAGTAAAAACTGGCTTGTGGGAACAACCTATGCTATGTAAACAACTTTTGAAACACTACTTGAGCTGCAAGCCAATAGAGAACATAAGGGCCACTGGAAAGAAAATACCTTTTGACAGTTAGAATATTTGTAACTTTATTGCTCAAGCAAGCGACAAAAGTACAGATAACTATAAGATGGGAAGCTACTAGAATTACTGGCAGACAAAGACAACAAGGTCTAATAGTGCAAAAGACTTTGTAACCTGACATGATCTTCAAGCACAATGGGGATGATCAGAGCTGGGGGGACAGGGTGGGGGTGGCTAAATAAATAAATAACAGTAAGATGCCCATATGGATTCCAGACAGATGTTGATCACAGAAAACCACAGTTAACAAGCTTGTTTCTAATCACAGGGCTTGTTCTTGTGTCAATAAAGAAATGGCATTGCTTACTTTGTTATTTACAACTCAAAAGTAGTCAAATACTGAAACCATGAACAATTTGTGCCTCCCCATTATTCTTAAAATCTCATCAAAAATTTGCAATTGAGTCAGAATCTTGTACCCTTGGCTTTTTCATCACGACACAAGAACATTGTCGTACTCCCAAAAGGGTCAATCGGTCCAGAAGATTAAATACTCACTACTGTACTGTATCAACACTGCCGCCACTTGTATTCCGAGCATACAAGGGCAGCATCAGCAGCCTGGAGAAAATACCCGACTTTACAGGACTCTCTCAAACCATGTGACACTTTGTCCTATTGGAGGCCATTTAGAGTCCCCCCCCCGCCCTTTAGCACAAGTTACACATTCATATATATTTTTCGAAAATGTTCACCGCCTTTTTCATTATTCTGTACAATGCCCGCTCTTCACAAAGCTTCATAATCCTAACTGTGAAGCTATCAGATGCTGCTATTGCTCTTACGAAACAATAACAGTCATGGTACATTGCATGCAAAAAATTTAAATTGACAGGCTCCTAATGAAAAGCAAATGTGGGCCCTCCACGGCAGAAGGGTCCCAAGACTAATTTATAATGGCCCATTCACCATGCTTGGGACAACAGATGTTCAATGAGTCAATGAACGCATGATTGGCTAAAAAAAAACAAAAGTCTGCAACACACATTTGATCTTTACATAGTGCGGGGTTTAAACTTAATTTCTTGTAATCCATTGGAATTGGCAAGCGAACACAAACAATACATACCTTCTGTTTCCCTTCTGCTTCAAAACCATTTAGGTTTTCAGAGAGCGAATGGTGTCTTTTTCCTAATAACGGTGCTGAAGGGATATTTGCAGAGGTTGGCATGGGCTTGTCGGAGAGTCCTCGACCCTTATCTCTCTGGTCTTCTGAATTTCTTAACTCTTGTGGCGTTTGTTCTAAAATTTGGGTCTCCTGTCGGGACTGCATATTTACATGCGGAGGTGTCTGCTCAGGCGGCTTTGGCCGAGTCCACAGATCATACATCACTATCAGTTCGCCACCAAGGACAGATCATGAAATGAAGCTTGCGCCAACTTTTAGCTGGTGGACAATTACATTGGGGAAAAAAAAAAAACTTTGTGAAATTCTTTTATGAAACATCGTGAGAAGACCATGAGCGGAGGTCTTTTTCACAGCCTTTTTAATATCTGAAGCCAAACTAAGGACGCCATGGTCAGCAACAATCAAAAAAAAAAAAAAAAAAACGGCATGAAACCTGCTAAGGTTATTATGCCTGTTTCAAATCATTGAAGGACAAAGTTATTGTAAAAGGCCTTGTCATTCTCCGAGTAACGACATCTACCAAAACGAGGCCAGTGCCCTCAAAAAACAGCTGACAAAATGTTCTCTGTTTCAAATGGCAAGTCCGTTACGTTCATTCTCCTGACACTAAAAATGCTCTTTATAGACAAACTCAAGCTTCCGAGTAACGCCGTGCTACTCATAAATATTCACTATCCATGCCTTACCGACGTCATCTTTGGCCAGTTTACAACACCCAGAAAAAAAACCCCAAACACTGGGAGTGTTGCATGTCCTGTCGAAGCAAGACATATCGGCCCCAAAATAAAACAGCAAACAAAAAAAAAGATACAAAGAGATGAAAATGCAAGACGAATCCAACTAAAAAGGTCCCTACTGCAGCGTTGCTGTTAAACTGAGATGTCCGTGGAACTACAGCTCTTCCTCCGAGAGTCCGTGCCCATCGGGGCTGCTTCCTGCTTTTAGCCAGATGCGAGAAGACACGACAGGCTGCGTCTCATATTGTTTCCGGTGCCATAAAGGTGAAGAAAGAGGACGATTGGAAAAATGAGCGTATGAAACGGGGGTTGTCATTGAGAGGAGGGGGGTGGGGAAGACCTCCTCAGGATCCTATCACAAAAAGGCAAGCATTCAGTCAGTGCCCAATCATAACGGGGACTATGGCTCGTTTCCATGGAGATGACGCTGGAATGATGTTGGCTCCCTATTGATTGTTCAAGAGGCAACACGGGCTGCAACACGGGGAGGCTGCATGAGAGACACAGTTGAGCAAGTGGAACTAATGCGAATGCGCGGTTGCAGTGTCACACTTGTAAAACAAAATTCGGAAGCCTGACAAGATGCTGAGTCTTCCTGATTTTAAACAAATTGAATCTTGACAGGAAAGCGTCTTCATTTGACAGTATGTTTGCGCAGTTAAGTATCGAATTCGCCTCCCTGGGTAAAATAGTGTCTCTGCATATTAATTTTGATCAAATTTTAGATATCTCATTCTCTCAATATGACCTGGCATGAGCGATATGGGTTCAATTATCTATTGTGATATTTTATAACAATAATGAAAAACATTTATAGTTACTGCAGACTAATTTTTTAAAAATGGCAAAATTCTTTACAAAGTTATCAAACTTCTTTGTGTCAGTAGCAAGACACGACCTTCGATTTTTAGTCACCGGTAAGTTTCGGTTTTCATGGATATATACGAATTTTGGTTTAAATTTTTTTTTTGGTATGTTTTTTTGCTCATGTCAGCAGGTTCGATGATACCAAAAAGGTCAAATGATGAGAGTAGAACAAGTTACATATTCCAGATATTCTACAATAACACTGTGAGGGATGTGACTAACTATTAGTGCCTTTATTGAGGGGTTTCTTTAACACACCTTAACACAATATGCATGTGAACTTGACAAACCTGTGCACATGTAAGCCCAGCAATGTCAACTTTGACAACTCAACTCCAACCATAACGTCAAGTAGATGCAATGAGATTAACCTCTGCACTGTGAAGTTGACGCGCTAACCACTGGACCACCGGCCCGCCCTCATCCACATATAGGTCAAGCCAATTAAACATGATAGCCAAACTTGTGAGTCTCTGGTTCAACGTAGCAAGCTGGCACATAAAAATAGACAGTTAGCAACACTGTTCCTCGCAGCTACGTTGTTATGACAGGCCAGACATGACGGAGAGCAGAAGTTCAGTTCGAAAGACTATGCCCGCACAACCTCCAAGTCAAATCCTACAAGCACCATCACAAGTCAATTCAATGCACGCGGGCCTTCAAGCCACTTATTTCAAAAGTGACTTTTTTTTTTTTTTTGTTGGTCTCTGTTGTCATTTAGTCATTATGTACTGCGCCAACAAAATGTAACATTTATGACTTTGACTTTCCACAATTACCTCATTACCACCACTGGCAACCACCCACTTTGTAGGTACCAAATCTCAGTCAATTTCAGTCAACTCTTGCGGTACTCTTTTAATTATTTCCTCCTGTTTGGACTGGCTTTATTTGGGTGAAACTCAATGAGCTCAACATGGGTAACTTGCTTGTTTATGAGCTTTACTGCCACCACACACATTAAGACTCGAGCTTGATGTGTTTAAAAAGACACCAGGCTCAAGACATCTCACATGTTTTCATTTCACAATGCACACCATTATTCAAATCAACTGTTGTGTAATGTTGTACTTGTGATCATAAGACTATTGCTTTTGGTGCCTGAGGAATAAACTCAATCACTCCCACTTTATCTTCTGTTCTATTCATTGGTATAAAGAAAAATATTGACACATCTCAGTTAATTAGCGAACCACAGGTGACTTGACCCATCAGTTCCATCCAGCTAACTATTTTCTGGGATTATCCCACTTGGGTTGATAGAGTGCTGAAGCCAGACAACCGCCTGTATTCAGACTCACATCATCTCTTAGTGTGAAATTAACCCATCATTAGTAATGCTCCATCTCATTTAATCATGACGTTAGGGACAATCATATGCTTCGAAATATGTGCCGCCTGTGAGGGGAAAGATGCTCAAGTGCCCCAACCCACAAAGATCACTTAACGTACCTTTAAGATCAATATAGACGGGGATTGAGCCACACTTCTCTTGGGTCCAACAGTAGAGACCGCTAACATAAATTTTTTTAGGGTGGGTGGTGGGGGAGATGGTGGCCCAAAAATTACTTACTCAAAAATCTTGTAAAAAGTATGATTTATCAGTGTGCATATATAATCACCATAATAATGAAACTGCTATTTCGAGCCCCCAAAACTAGATTTTAAATACAGTCCACAGTTGCCCAGATGGCTAACTGGTCCTTCTATACAAACACAGATCAATCAAATGGATAAAGTTCAATCTGGAAACATAAAGTCACTTACCGCCATATTCCTGTCCATGCATTTGGAGGGAGGGGACACATCTGACCCAGTAAACTGTTTGTGGTAGGGGGCCTGGTCGTTGCGCTGTGCATGAGAAGTGTTATGAGGGTGACAAATTTTTAGAGCACTGCTCCAACAGGTGTCCGCTGCTACACACGTGGTATAGGCGTCATCTAAATACAAGTCACTGCTTGCTGCCTGCGGTACCGGCTGTTTGTGTTTGGTTTTGATCTTGCAGGAACAAGAAGCAATTTTGGATCCACGCAGCGAGGTCCTCGAGTGGTTTAGATGAGGAACAAGCTGATTGAAGCTGCTGCCATCTTGGGCGAACTGTCGCACAAGCTGTCGTTTGTGCAGAAAATCTTGGTGGGTATCTAGCAGGTGGCAGAGGACGATGGCTTTTTCCAGCTCCAATTCCTGCCTATGCAATTTATAGACTCCCTGCTCACTATTTATCTTCCCAGACAGCATCAGCAGCAGCTGCTCCAGATTCAGCTGAGTTTCACGTGTGGAGCTGCCTGCCTCAATGTTGGTGTATCGCCCACGGTCTTTAAAGAGACACCGCAGCCTGTTGGAGTGTCTGTTTTTTCGGCACGCACGTCTGGAAGTCACCTCCTGCACATGCTCCCGTGGTTCCCGTGGGTGCCTTATCTCCACAGAGAGGGCCTGCTCTGTTCGCTCCTCTTCCACTTCCAAAACAGCATGTAGCGTTTCTAGCTCTGGACCATGGTTCGCCAGGCCCTGGCATGGTTTCTTGGATGATAATAGCAAAGGGTTATGGCCATCTTTTCTCATTGTGCCACAGTCAGAGCACAGTATACACAGGTGACACAGTCATCTTTAAAGAGTGTATCACAAAGGACGTGCAATTGGGTGATGGACAGTTTATATCAGTCATGCAGCATGCGGTTGTCAGACCAGGACACTGGAATGATGAGACAGAGAAGGATGTATCGTACAGAAAATGGTATGACAAGAAATAGCACTGCTATAGTCTAGCAATAGATTATATGGTGGGTGTTAAGACAACATGACCACTGACTGTACACATTATGACATTATCCAATTCAAGAGCTATTCTCCCTTAACAAATGTCCCGTTACCTCAAATGAAATGATTTAAACTATTAAAAACAGTTTTGAGTATGATACAGATGTGCTGGGTGATTACTTAATCTGCATCTGTCAGGATGATTTCTTTTTAACTTTTTTCTTTCAGAATTTGCATCTGAAAATTGTGCCCCCTGACGTTCATGGTATTAGGAGTAATAAAGCAAATCTCTTAAGTGGAATTCAAACCCAGCTAAACTTGTGTTTTGGACAATGTTACTGTTTTTTGATTTTTTTCGATCAGTAAAGGCAACTAAATCAGTCAAAACTGGAAATCGGAATTTTGTGGTGAGAAAGAATATAAATATACCGGTAATTTACGGCCATGCTGCCCAGCCCAACAACAGCAATCCGACAGTGTCATAAAAGCTCCCGATACAGCGCTTGTGATGGATAGGCTCTGTATTGTGTAACTTGGGGATCGTCGGTGTATTTACTAAAGATATGTTACGTCAATTCAGTAGAGGTGTCACTGATGTAATAAACTATCGATTAGTTACTTGCAAATGACATGCGGATGAGGACGTATGAGGACGTGCAATTGGGTGATGGACAGTTTATATCAGTCATGCAGCATGCGGTTGTCAGACCAGGACACTGGAATGATGAGACAGAGAAGGATGTATCGTACAGAAAATGGTATGACAAGAAATAGCACTGCTATAGTCTAGCAATAGATTATATGGTGGGTGTTAAGACAACATGACCACTGACTGTACACATTATGACATTATCCAATTCAAGAGCTATTCTCCCTTAACAAATGTCCCGTTACCTCAAATGAAATGATTTAAACTATTAAAAACAGTTTTGAGTATGATACAGATGTGCTGGGTGATTACTTAATCTGCATCTGTCAGGATGATTTCTTTTTAACTTTTTTCTTTCAGAATTTGCATCTGAAAATTGTGCCCCCTGACGTTCATGGTATTAGGAGTAATAAAGCAAATCTCTTAAGTGGAATTCAAACCCAGCTAAACTTGTGTTTTGGACAATGTTACTGTTTTTTGATTTTTTTCGATCAGTAAAGGCAACTAAATCAGTCAAAACTGGAAATCGGAATTTTGTGGTGAGAAAGAATATAAATATACCGGTAATTTACGGCCATGCTGCCCAGCCCAACAACAGCAATCCGACAGTGTCATAAAAGCTCCCGATACAGCGCTTGTGATGGATAGGCTCTGTATTGTGTAACTTGGGGATCGTCGGTGTATTTACTAAAGATATGTTACGTCAATTCAGTAGAGGTGTCACTGATGTAATAAACTATCGATTAGTTACTTGCAAATGACATGCGGATGAGGACGTATGGGGGGGGGGGACAGTTTTTTTTCAACTACGGCAAACGTCGAACTAATGTTAATCTATGAATGCAACAAGTGATAATGTAGGAAAAGAAAAACAACAACATCATCATCATCAGCGCAATGATCAACAACGCGACAGTAAACGATGGTGTGCAACATCCAGACGTGGACGCTTCGAACTTGAGGCCAATGGCTTATTAGAAGTCCACTATTTAATTAGCTTACGTGAGTAGCCTACAATATATTAGGATAAACTCTTTGATTTTATAAATGAAATAACAAGAGAACGATACGGCTCCTGGGTAAATTGGGAGCTGGATTCGCTGTTACTCGCTAAATTTAATGCATTGCGCTAAAACATTAGCGCAATAGTTGGAATTGTCTGGCTGCGACTTCAACCGAACTTACCTCATAGCGGATACGTACATTGCAACGCTACATTGCCTTCACTGCATTCGGGTACATTAAAACTACGTGCAAAAGTGACCACCGTTAGCTCCAAAAGGTCCCTGGAGCCGTCGTGCGACAGGGGGTTTGTTTATCCGTAAGGAACACGTCACCCGACTGGACCGTCCAGGAGTGGTGCTGCCTTCAAGTACCCTCCGGCGTTTGACCATTCTTTATTTATTACCTGTACTGATGATAATGAAGGCAACATAAATTTAGCCGACGTGTGCAAGATGATTACGCATGATTACGGTATAACCCGTCAGTGCAGAGTATTCCACTAAAAATACGAAAGAATTGTGACTTTGGACTCAGTATTTTCTGATACACTCACATAACAATATGTTGTTTCACCAGCTCGGTGACTTTAACCCTGGAGCCCACCTCAGAGTCCCCAGACTCTGCTTCCCCAAGGGAAGGCATGTTGGTGGACTCAAGGAGGTTTTTCTCTACACTGACTCACAATTTTCCCAGTCGAGGTCAGCAGCGCCCAATCACCACTATACAAAATGTTAATGGTGCATTGCTTCCCCCTCCTGAGACGCTGGAATTTCTTCAAAGCCATCCCGAAGTCGTTTTCCATAGCATTGCAAAGCTCCACCCATGCCCAAGTTTTTGCCTCGATGACCACGGAAGCTGCATTCCGCTTGGCCAGCCAGTACCAGTCAGCTGCCTCTGGGGTCCCACAGGCCAAATAGGCTTAATAGGACTCCTTCTTCTGCTTGATGGGATCCCTTCCCGCCGGTGTCCACCAGTGGGTTCGGGGATTGCTGCCACGACAAGCACAGATGACCTCACTGTCCCCCACCTCCTCAGAGATGTGGGCAAATCTCTGCCACATGTGGCAGTTGAAACTGGATGCTATGATAAAGATTGACGGGTGCACGCACGGCCACCCCTGGCCACCCATCACAAAGGTGATGCGTCACCCTGGTCACCTCACTGAACATTTTCTGGTTCTGCCCAGGGGTGCAAAGTGCACATATGGACACCCTTATGTTTGAACATGGGGTTTGTTATGTACAATCCCTGACGAGCACAGAAACAGAACACCGCTCGGGTTCTGAAGGTGAGTCCGTTCCTCCCATTCAAGCCCTTGCAGTTACTCACTCACTGTCATTGCCCATGCGAGCATTAAAGTCCCCCTAGTAGAACGAGGGAGTCCCTTTTTCCGGTATTTAATCAATAGCTTGTGTTCCGTACAGCGTAAGTGATGTTCGTGTCATAAATCATCAGCCTTCTTCAGATAACTGAAAGTCAATTTGTAAAATTAAGTTTTAAGAATTATTCATGAATCAAGCTTGAAGCCACAGACAATCCAGCCCCATCATACCCAGACTGTACATCAACATGCAAAAAAAGAAAAAGGAAAAAAAAAAGACACACCCACCACAGGAACTGAACTGCAATCTCCCAATGGGATTGTACAGAAGCAAGTGGGACATGACTATGAGAGAGCTTTACCTGAAACAGGAGATGCAGGGATACCAATGAAGCGTTAGCTTTCTTTGTTATTGTTTTTTTTTTTTTTTCGGCCCCTCCTGCTTTTTAAGTATAGGCGGGTACATAACATGATGAGCATGATACAATGATGAGCTATTTATTGCTTTATGTAATCTCTGTCACCGAAGCCGGATAGTCTCAGAGAGCCGAGGAGATGAAAGATCTAAGAGGCACTATTTAGACAAAGTCACATTTGTGAGACCTGGAATTGGGATGCTAACTGAGCCCGAAGCTATTCCTCAGAGCATTTTTCAGGTGGACATCTATTTTATTTTTATGACTATTAAAACAATTGGGTGACACCATATATTCTCACAAAAAGGTATGTGTTCTTTAAATTACTACATTTTGCCTTCTAATTCGTAAAGTTCATCCAATGACAAGGATATTTTGACATGAACCTTCCTTTGCGATGCAAAAATACATTTAAATGCATGTAGCTTTCTATAAAATTTTAATATAATAAAGCGGTTAAAGGGCCATTAAGAGCATCATTGGTTTGAATTCCTCAATATTTACAGTTCAATTGTGTGTTGTCTTTCCTCTTTATTAGAGTCAATAAAAACGAATCAAACTTTGCATTACCGTTTTAGAATCATTTATGTCAAATATAATTAATTAACTTCATAAATGAATGTCGGTGTTTTCCTTAAGATACATTTTGGCAGTGATGATATTTCTCAGCTAATTCTCAGGATTGGGCAGGGAGAAGGGAGGGGAAGCACATGTTGACACAAAAGGCAACATTATTCCCTCATGGATTCGCGTTATATCCTATTATGAAGGGAGAATTTTCCTCTTTGATCACTGAGCAATTGTCCCGGAGTTGTAAACGGTTCGTTTGAATCGGGAAATGACACAACAGTGGATATTCAAAATGTAATTGAATTTCAAAATCTCCTGCCGAACAAATGTGTTACTGAAAATTAAATGTACCACATGGCCCTTTCCTGCCCTCCCACTCCTTATTCTGGCAAAAATAAGCAGTATCGAAAAAGTAGCGGCCAACTCGTGTCTTCCGATCGTGCAAAACATACCTCAGCTGAGCAAAACAGCGGCTTAAGATTCTAACATGCAGCCCGCCCTCCTCCTGTCGTCCAGGAGATGAGAGGCACCCCTGTGGTGTCATCAGGTGCTGAAGCGTTTTAATGACAGATTACAGGAAGCAGTGTTTATGCCTGACGATGGGGGCCATAGAAAGCAGAAATGTCTTTTTGTGCCCCCTGGGCCCGGAATGTCCACTATCTCGAGGGGCCAATATCAAATTCTCCTCTCATCATCCACTAATCGACATTCCTGTGTCAGGTCAGGGGGGAAATCTATGAGAGAAAAAAAAAAACCAATACCCCAAAAGAGACACGACACATGGAAAATTCAAAACACAGGAGCTATCTATTTCCAGTGACTATTTCGAAATGAATTCCTGACTTCCATGGTGTTCTCTCCTCGTACTGTATGTATCGATTTGCTTTTGTTTCAGTCGCGGTTTGTAACCGTTTCTACTTTCATGAAAACATTGAACGCATTATTTGAACGATGGTCATTCAGCACATTCTCGCTTAGGCGAATGTTGGCTCCCCCCCTGTACTATCTCCCTCCGATTACTGAGTGATTGTCTGTGAATCCCGAAATTCTTTGTCTCCAGGGAATCCCCTTCTACAGGGAAAACCACAACACAGGTGACACCTGCCCTCCCCCCCCCTCACCTCCCAATGCTTGGGAAAACTACTAAACCAAACGTTAGCAACAATTCCCCACCCCCTAGCGTTTCAAAACGGGCTAAGAGAGCACTTTGATTTCGAACCACACTTTTTACAAGTCTGTGCACCGTTTTGCAAAACGCCATCAATACCGACTACCGCTGCAGGCTCATTTGGCAACACAATCCAATACTGTAATTACGCTACAATGGAACGAGGCCACAAAAAAACGTGGCTGTTTGTTGTATGATATGCATTGGTCGGTGTGTTCATTTGTAAGAGGCAAAGCGTATTCATGTGTTGCAGGCGGATGGTCATTCAGGCAGCCATGCGAGTGCAACGCGTTGTGGAGAGCGTATGCAAGTGCTGGAACCCGACTATCTGTCTCCTGGTGACCTTGCTTGGATCTCTTGTTTTAGTGGCGCTCAGTGTGCTGTTGCGATTAGGTGAGTACAGACAATCGTTTAAGTAGGTGCATGAGGAAAAATATTGGTCATGCTAAGTTCCGGTTTTATACAGTATGTTGTAATATCATGAATAATTTTTCCAC